TTTCGACAAGAACTGGCTTTGGGTGCCGATTTTCGTGTGTACGAAGAGTACAGTCTTATAAAACACTAAATCGCCACAATACACCAAAACACTTTAACTTTTACACTGGACGCGCGTTTCGCTAACCATGTTAGCATCATTAGCAGATGATCAAGGCTCTTGATGACTTTGAGTCTGGACCATCTGCTGATGATGCTAATATGGTTAGCGAAACGCGCGTCCATTGTAAAAGTAAAAGTGTTTTGGTGTATTGTAGTGATTTAGTGTTTTATTTTGCTGTGTAACACCAAAAGTTCTAACCCCCAACTGTAATATGTAGAGAAAAATGTGAAGGATACATAACGACTTAATCCTACGTATATTCCATTTATTTAGGAAAATACTTGGTCTGTTTTCTTTGTTTAGTACATCTTATTGTACTGAACAGAGAAAAAAGACCAAGTATTTTCCCAAATATTTCAGCAAGTATTTTCGCATCTATTTCACAGAAATGTGAAGGATACTTATCCACTTAATCCGACGTATATTTCATGTACTTGGGAAAATATTTGGTCTTTTTTCTTTATTCAGTACAATACTTCGGAGAGAGAAAAATGTGAAGGATACATAAGCACTTAATCCGACGTATATTTCATGTACTTGGAAAAATACTTGATCTTTTTTCTTTAAATATAATAATATATGACAAATATAATCCGACGTATATTTAAATATGCGTCGGTTTAAGTGATTATATATCCTTCACATATTTCTCTCTCCGACTTAATGCCGATATGGTACATACCAAATTCATTCCTATCAAGTAAAAAACGCGATATTTGTTAAGTGACATCCACACACAAAATTTCAACTCTTTTAATATGAACTGAAACGTCAAATCGAAGAATTTTATATGAAAACGTTATTTTTTAAAAAGAAATCGTCTCCCGGTTCTGATTTCGTTACGTATTCGTTTACACCCTCTCTAGTGCCAGAAGAAAAAATTGCATTGTATAATAATCGTATAGTCATTTAATCCTGGGTCGCATGCTTGCGCAAATAGCAATTTTTATTGTCAACATAATATTCTGTTTTCTTCCTTTTCAGTTATACTTCTATATTTATGTTCTCATATTTTCCATCCTTATGTTAGTACCCATTCTGGCGATAGATTTAAAAAACAAATATTTAAAGAAGTTTTGGTATTCCTTAAGGCCCCCATACGCTTTGGTTATTTTAACTAACCACGCGGTTTTAACCGAACGGGTGAGTTAAAATGGATGTTCAGTTAAAACCATCATTGTATGCGAGTGTTCGGTCCATTTTAACCCGCACATTCAAAATCTGTCTTCGCCAGATATGTCAACCATGCGGTTCGACCCGTTTGTTCCTACCCGATAGTGTATGGACATAAACCGGCAAAACCGCGCAGTTTTTTCAAACCAGTGGCGCGAGCAGTTCTTTATATATTTTTTCAGCGCATTGTATCATTTTCTTCTATTCTTTTTCAGGAATTTCTTTTTTTACCACAGTTACCGCCGCGTCGCCACTACCAGCGAATTGTTTCTCGAATCCATCGTTCTTATAGCGCGGATAAAATGAACTGGACAAAATGAGACAGCGTGTGGAAGTTGCTTGTCTGTGCTTTCTACCGGCGCCGTTTTAACTGTACGGTTAAAACCGACCAAAATAACCGAAATGTATGGGGGCCTTTAGACAGAGATAACTAATTCTGTAAAAGAATTAAATACCACACTGTCAAATCTTGAATGTCCAATTATACTGATAAAATAAAGATATGCTTGTTACGTCTCAGCTTTGAAATTACGTAGGCATGTATAATTGTTCAACCTTGATTAGGGTACAATCATTGAGTGTAAATGTCCTAAAGAGTTGTAATGATTTCAATAAACGGTATTTATTACTACATATATTTTTATATTAAAAGCCTTGTTTATTGAAAATTGCCAATAAGATATTTTGAAGAGCACTTGAATCAAAATGAATGAAATACGTTTAGAATTTTGTCAAGTGAACCTCAAAAATAGACATTTAGATAAGTTTACTTAAAACCTTCTAGCGTCTTAAATAAAAGAAATATCCTTAAAAATATTTCTAAATATCTGGGATGAAGGTCTCAAGGTAAAGCAAAAATAATTTTTATATTAAAGTCTATTATGTATACAGGGGAGGGCTAAACGTTGCATTTTTCTTGTACATGTAATCAGTTGGTTAAACACGGTAAAGTTAAACCAAGAATTTTTTTGTGAATATCATGGGAGGAAATAAAATACTGCATCACAGAATTGATTTTTATACAGAATGTCTGTAAATAATTTTTAACACCGACAAATACATCTGCATGTTTTTTACAATGCGGTATTTAATATTGAGACATCCTGTACAAAAATTATTTATATTAATTGCATGATAATGGAAAATCTTAATTAATTTGAAAGTAACAGAGGTCAGAATCTGGAAACATTGCTTGTTTGTTTTTGTTGCTGTACAGGGTGTCCCATTTCCGTATGTTTTAAAGTTTCTCGTTTACGAGTAGAGATACAAAGAAGATGCGGTTTTCACGTCACTGTGTTACTTTTTATGACACTAAAGATGCTACACACAGATTTGTTGTAACCCTCTTGATTCCTGAAATACAGGGCGAATTTTTCCGTCAAATTCTGTCATTCTTGAAATACAGGGTGAGTTTCCTACGATGTTTTCTATGGGTATCTCGGAGACTACTGGAGATGGAGAGTCAGTTAAATGGGGAAAGAATTGCAGTTTTGTGAGGTCATAAATATGCGCTTTTCAGATTTTCGAAAAAGTTCATGGCTTACTAGATATTTCGAAAAAAACAAATTTTGGCTATTTTAAAAATTGTCCCTAATTCTATTATAATCTATTTAGACAAAAAGTTTTCAGATAAAAGTTGTAGATAATCACATCCGTAATGAGATTGTGTTCTCCGATTTTTTCTAAAGCCTGTCATTTTTGACATATGACACAAACATATGTTTTTTTTAAATGGAAACCATAGTTGGCCATGACTTCATAAAAAGAGCCGTTTTTTAAGCTTTTCAACGATATAAGCTATAATATGTTTCTTTCACAAAATTACTGAGTTATAACCAATTCTTATCTTTCTTGACTAATTTCACTTAGTTAGCCATGGAAACAAGTTCAATCGTCGTTGCTCTCAGAAATGTGAAATTGTCACATCCAATCTTTGTAAATTAACATAAACAAAAATTGTAAATAATAGTTTTTTAAATGAACAGCGTGTAGAATTATTGGTTCAACTTTTCTTGGCCATACAGTTTCGAGGATACGTTGACCGATGAACGTTACGTTTTTTAGAAAACGGTTTTCAAGACATGTTAGAAAAGTTAAATTTAGATACTCGCGCATTAATACAGTGGTTCCAACATGATTTTCATTATGACGCACCATTTTCAAAAATCTGAAAGGCGCATATTTATGACCCCACAAAACTGCAATTCTTTCCCCATTTAACCGACTCTCTATCTCCAGTAGTTTCCGAGATGCCCATAGAGAACATCGTAGGAAACTCACCCTGTATAGCCCAAACTTATATTTTTTGTGTGTTACCTTGTATATGATTTTTTTTTATTTTATTTGACTTGTTAGGAGTTTTCTAAAAATACAGGGTGTCCCAGAAATAAGTGCAAATATCTTAAGTGGTTACTACCAGTTCAACCCCAGAAACACATCTATGAGATTATTTTCGCGAAAAAAAATTTTGAAAATTCGGAATTTTTTGAAAATTTTTTTGGAAATTTTTTAGTTTTTAGTTAAAAAACATAATTTCTTGATAATATGGCAACAGAGGTAGTAGATTAAATTTACAAGAAAGAAAATCCAGAAAAGATCCAGTGGTTCTCAAAATGTTTGCAAAAAATCATTTTTTTGGAAAATTTCAAAGTAATATAACTCGTAACGTTATTTTGGACTTACGTGAAAAACGATAGAGAGAAAATATGTTTCTTTTATCGAGATCTACCACCCCTTAAAATATTTGCACTTATTTCTGGGACACCCTGTATATATACTACTTATTTTCATAAACAAGGTAAAAAATGCGTTATTTAACTTTTTAATCAAAACAATAAAATAATTTATTCGACGCGCGACGTCAAATTTTGGTTATTGGCTATTCCACGCTAGTGTGTCTGTGTAGAATTATTACAGAATTGCATTAAAAATATCAATAACTCTGATTGACAGCGTGTTCTCTAAAAGTTTCTTGAGTTTATTTTCAGTGCAGTTTATTAAGATAACACAATGGAAAGCAAAATTATCTGGTTAAATAAATTGATAATACCCTTTTAAACTCGGTTTATTTATGTTAAAAAATGCATTTTTACCTTGTTTATGAAAGTATAGAATATATTATGTTTTTAGAAAGCCCATGGCAAGACAAATAAAACAAACAAAAAATATACAATGTGGCACATTAAAAACAAACATAAGTCATATTTCGGAAATGACAGTTCCCAACGGAAAAACTAGTATGCCTCTAAGATAAGATATGAAGGGAGTAGAAAAATGCAACATTTTCGAATTCGCTCTGTATTTTAGAAACTAAGGGGGCTAGGATAAATCTGTCTGTACAATCTTTAGTTTCATAAAAAAGTACCACAGTGAAGTGAAAACCACATCTTTATATCTCTACTAATGAACGAGAAACCCTATAAAACACGAAAATGAGACACCCTGTACATGTAAAGTTTTAAGATCTTCGGTTATCTTATGCAGATCTACACTAAATTTTATAAAAATTCCCAAATTATATAAACTACTTAAAGCATTAATGAATATTACATTTATCAAATGACACAAGTAATTAAGATTTTCTTGCTTGTTTGCCAAGGCAGATTGTTGCCAAAGTGTTCATTCTAAAAAATGCTTTTACACTTATAATCTAGCAGCTATACTCATAATTAATATTATGAGTATAACTGTGATCATAAACTAATCTGATTTTTTTTTTCAATTAGGGTCTTATGTTTGGCTACGCCACTGACGAAACAGAAGAATGCATGCCTTTGACAGTCGTTTTAGCCCACAAACTAAATGAAAAAATTGCAGAATTAAGACGTGCCGGTGAATTTTGGTGGGCCAGGCCGGATTCTAAGACTCAAGTAAAATATTCAAAAATTTGAAAAAGGGAATAAAGAACTAAATTTTCATTATGTTCAGGTTACTTGCGAATACACTTTCAACCATGGCGCTTGCGTTCCCCAACGAGTACACACAATCGTCGTATCGCTACAACACAGTGAGAAGATCAATTTAGATGAGCTCAGAGACGCTATCAAAACCAAAGTTATCAAAGAAGTTATTCCAGCTAAATATTTAGACGACCAAACTATCGTGCACATCAATCCATGCGGATTATTCATTATTGGAGGACCACAAGTAAGTCAAAATTCTTATTGGCAACAATAGGATTAATTGTTTAGATTAATACCAGTCGTCAGAGATGTTCTTCCACACAATTGCATTACATCATTCACTAACTATAATTAAAATTGATATTTTATACGGCCAGATTAATAAAACTTCAAGCTGGTAAAAATTAATAAGATTTATATTGCCAAAATAATAGGTAGAATGTTATCTTAATAATATAAAAAAAATAATCAGAAAAGGCCAACTGAAATTATTATATTTTACAACCCAAATCGACCTTTTAGTTGTTTGGCTCTTGACATTACTCTGACAAATAATGCTACCTTAATGTAAAAATATATTAAAACACAAAGTAAAAGCTATGTGTTACCAAGATACAGAGGATTTGCAAAAAATGCAGAGAAAAGATGTATAGTGGTTGATTAAAATAATTTACAGAATTGTTTACGCTATTCAACAAAAACTATTTTAGCTAAATGATTATATTGTTACGGATTCCGTGGGTCCACTATTTAAACTCACGATAAAATACTTAACGAATTTATTTGTTTCACTCTGTACACACAACTTATACTATTTACAACACAACTTATGCAACTACTATTACTCTAACGGTATTTCGCGGTATTTTCAAACTTCAGACTTCAGACTATCTTCAGACTTCAAACTTTAAACTTCAAAACGTCCAACTGTCAAAGCGCGGGCCTTGTATACCCCCTGGCGGTTGTTTCTAGATTTTTCTAAAGAATTCTAAAATACTTTCTGGCGAATGCGCCAGGTTCCTCAATGCACGATTTTTTTGCAGTATGCAGTTATGCAACCAGTAATACACCTTGACATTGCCCCCTTCTCAAATTTGATCGTCCCGATCAAGGTTTCCTGTCTGGTATCTCTTCAATCGATCCAGATGCACTACTTTCATCTTACTTCTAGGACTGCGTTGAATCCGATACACAACATCATTTATCCTCTTGATGACTGTATAAGGACCTTCCCATGCTGGAGTTAACTTTGGGGACCTTCCTTTCTTGCGCTGTGGGTTATACAACCATACCCTATCGTCCTGTTGAAATCCCGTAGAATTAGCTCTGAGGTCGTAACGAGCTTTCATCCGGTCACTGGCTAGCGTAATCTTACTTCTCACGGCCTTATGAATTCCCAATAATCTTTCCTTCCTAACGATTTTTTCGAACGACAGTCCAACGTTATCTTGTTCCATTTTTCCTCCAGATCGAGTACTTGGTCCTTGTCTAGTTGCGCAAATCTTACAACGTTGACACCATTTCTTAACATCTTCGCAATAATCCACCCAGTAAAAGCGATCTCTCAGCTTGCTCAAGGTCTTGTTTACCCCAAGATGGACTCCAGTTTTAGCACCGTGAATTTCTTCCAATACCTGGGTAACTTTCTTCCTTGGTACCAGTAACTGAGTTGTTACTGTACTGAGTTGTTACTGTCCTGCCATCCGCACTTTCCCACGTGCGCTTTAACAATCCATTCTCAATAACCAGTGAATTCCACTGAGCCCAGAGAGCTTTGAAAACGAGCCCTCTGTCCGCAATATCCTGCCACGGTGGTCTCTCGCCGTTACCTTCCCTGAGCCGTAGTATTGCTCCGATGTCTGGATCTTCCATTTGATCTTTCCTCAATTGTATCGTCGTCCATGGTTCGTCAGTTCTAAGCTTAAAATTCCTTATTCTGGTAGTGCTTTCGCGATGTTTCATTTTCTTGTCCAAGGTAGCTCGTCGTCGATCTAGGTCGTTGTCGATAATTTGTACCCGTCCTACACGGCACCCAACGGTTTTCTCTAGTTTCCCGAACACAGTCTTCTTGGTATCACCAGGTATCATCACAATTTTCGATGATCTTTCTTCCATATTTCCTGGTCTCTTCTCTTTAGATACAGAAAATTCCTCATTTCCGATTTTCAGGATGTTTCTATGGTGATCAAACGAAAAACCATGTTGACTGATCACATCCATACCCATGATAAAATCATCTTCAATGTCTGCCACTAAAACGCTATGCCGAAACTTCAAATTCCCTAACTCCAATTCCATGAAAGCCTCTCCCCGTACAACGGCCATTTCCCCCGTAACTGTACGTAAATACACTCTTCTTCTAAGAGGCATCATCTTCAATCCTTGCACTGAGTTATTCCGCACCAACGATACCATAGCGCCTGTGTCCACAGTCATTCGAATTCTTCTACCATTGACCTTCCCGTTGATCACCAAACTGTCAGCGGTTTTTCCTAGACTCCTAACGGAAAACATCCTAGGGGCTCTGTTTTCTTCAGCCAATACTCGCTCATTAGTGTTGATTTCCTGGTGCCTATGTTCTCTCGATGGTAAACGGAATCGCATTTGGACGCGGCAATCCCGTTTGATGTGGCCATTCCTGCCGCATCCATAGCACCTTATGTCCTGGGATCTTCTCTGGTTCTCTGTCTGGTTATTGTTGACTCCCTTGTTTATTAGTAGCTCACATAGTTTGTCGAATTTTCTACACAGCTCCTCCAAACTTCTGTGGGTACTCTCGGGCTGTTCCTCTACCGTTACCGATCTTATCTTCGCTCTAGGGATGGCGCTAAAAGCAGCTTCGATTTCCAGCGCCCTGACCAGTGCTTCGCTGCTGGTAGAAAATCGGGATATTTGCAGCGCCCTCTGTAATTCGTTGTCCCTCAGTCCGCTGATAAAGCACTGAGCAGCGAGTTCCTCCCTAAATCCTTCGGGTGCTTCAGAATACGCTAGGTGTACCAGCCGACGTAAGTCTGCTTCAAATTCCTGCAGACTCTCTCCGGACCTCTGCAGGCGTGACTTGATCTGGGCCTGGTAAAGTTGGCGTCGATGTTGGTCGCCATATCTTCTGTCGAGTGCAGCGACCAAAGTTTGGTATTCCTGCTGTTGGGCTGCAGGAATAGTTTGCAACAGTTCCAGGGCAGGGCCACGCAGCGCGATGACAAGTGCCGCTGCTTTCTCCTGGTCAGTCCATCCGTTGGCAGCGGCGGCTGCTTCAAACTGACGGTGGTACATTGTCCATGTCGTTTGTCCATCGTAGGTCGGGGCCTTAAGGTTCGCTGTTCCAGAGACGCCAGGTGTCCTTGCTTGTACCTTGGTCTTCTGTAGGTCCATCTCTAATTTTTCCATTTTCTGCTGAAGGCGTTCCTCCAGATCTTCTACGACTTCTTGGAAATGGTTCTCCTCTCGTTTTTCTAGGTCTTCAAAATTCTTCTGTAGTCGAAATCCCTGATTTTCTAAAGTTTTCTTAAGACGGTCCTGATCTTCTTGTCTTTCTTTTTGGCGGCGCGTTTCTATATCTTCTAAAATTTCCCTCCATTCATTCTTCTGACGACTTTCTAAATTGCCTAAAATTTTCTCAAGCCGGTCCTGTTCTTCTTCTTTGTCTTGTTGTCGTTGAATTTTCATATCTTCTAAAATTTTCTCAAGCCGGTCCTGTTCTTCTTCTTTGTCTTGTTGTCGTTGAACTTTCAAATCTTCGAAAATGTTCTCAAGCCGGTCCTGTTCTTGTTGACTTCGTAGTTTTTCCTCTTCCTTTTCTCTTTCTAATCGGGCTCGCTCTTCTCGTTCTTTACGGAGTCTTTCTTGTTCTTCTGCTTTCTCCCTTCTCATATTCTCCATAAAATCGCCTAATAGTTTGCTTACTTCCTCCATTTTCTTCGCTTGTTCCCTTGTACCAACCATAAAAATACTCTAATCCGGTCTAAAAATCTTCCAATCCACTTAATTTCTTCTTAACATCTTCTTGAATCGCACTTCCGACACCAATTGTTACGGATTCCGTGGGTCCACTATTTAAACTCACGATAAAATACTTAACGAATTTATTTGTTTCACTCTGTACACACAACTTATACTATTTACAACACAACTTATGCAACTACTATTACTCTAACGGTATTTCGCGGTATTTTCAAACTTCAGACTTCAGACTATCTTCAGACTTCAGACTTCAAACTTTAAACTTGTCCAACTGTCAAAGCGCGGGCCTTATATACCTCCTGGCGGTTGTTTCTAGATTTTTCTAAAGAATTCTATAATTTTCTTTACTTTCTGGCGAATGCGCCAGGTTCCTCAATGCACAATTTTTTTTTTGCAGTATGCAGTTATGCAACCAGTAATACACCTTGACAATATTTTAAAAAATTTGAGTATTGAAGTCGTTAAAGGTCTACTAAAGCGACAATTTAAAATTGTATTCAAAAGGTACAGAGTACAGAGTATCTCAAATAAATAAAAAACCTTAAAAGTTTTATTTTTCTTCTAATAGAACAGCTGTTTACATTATATTATTTTTAATTTCTACGATTAAAACAAAGGTAAATTTCAGTCAGGTTTACTTCAGTTGAATCTTACTGCTTTTTGAAATGTTTACAATTTTGTGAAAATGCGCTAATAATATTAATGCTGAACTAGATACATACTGAAGTTTGTTTATTAACTAAATATTGTGGTGAGTTGGGCAATAATAAAAGTAATACCAGCTTATACAGTGTGTTTAAAAATAATTCAAAATAATTACTAGCTTTAAATATAGCACAATAACTTATTTAATTTAAATGGAACGTTAAATTTGTACGTGCTGAAAGCATCAGATATAAAATTTAATTATCTATCAATATATATTATACCATTTTTTATCCATCTGTATCTTAGAAAAAAAAACATTTTTATAATTCAGACTTTATCAGTACCTGGTGTTTTTCAAAAGCGGCTCACCTCTAAAACTTTTTATTTCAGATAAAAAACTGAAATTTGGTCTAAGCATAAATTAGGATTGATTGGTATATTCAATTGTTTTCAGTCACTTTGTTTCACCGGAAATGACTACAACTTTTCATCACAACAAATGACACCCTTGGTATATTTTGCTTTATTCGATAGAAAACGACAGTCTGAATAGAATGACATATCATGTGTCAACTTTTGAAAGTTTCGCATAAAAAATCGTATTTTAAATTTCAGTCTAAACAAACATGCATCTATTAGTGCCATGGCTGTGTTAAAAACACTCTAATTTTTAATCAACCATATTAATCATGACATATGATGTCATTCTACTCAGACTGTCATTTTCTATTGTAATATGTGTCTATAAAGTAAAAAATACCTAGGGTGTCATTTAAAAATCAAAATTGTAGTCATTTCCGGTGAAACAGGAAGTGACCGAAATCAGTTGAATACGTCAATCATTCCCGATTTATGTCTTATACCAAAGCTTATACTAACGTACAAAATCTCGTTTTTTTATCTGAAAAAAATATAAAATAAAAAGATTATAGGGGTGATCCACTTTTGTGAATCACCCGGTATAAGTAATAATCCCGTTTTTTTTTTAAATGGGACAAATTTGGAGAAAGGTACGTGTAAGAATTGATTTTTTATAGTGTTCTTCATTTTTGTGAGTAGTGTAATACATTTTCTAAAAGACAAGCAACTTAAATGTATGAAAATAACGCTGATAAAATTTTTAAACATCTCTATACATATCATTTTGACATACTTCTAATTGAAAAAAATATTTTAAAATTGATTGAAGTTATATGCAAAATATGTTTAGAATTTGATGTAGAAGTTAAATCAAACCTCTGGTTGAACTGGAAGAAAGTGGAAAGTATATTAAGGAAGTATACTTGGAAATAGCCTTAAAACAATGAAATTTTAAGTGAATTAGATCCTAAAAATGTTGAGTGTAAAAAGTAAAAAACTCGTAATAGAAAATTAAAGTCCACAGAGAAAAGAAATAAATTTAGATTGGAATGTCTGTCAAAATATATAATTAATTTAGGTCGCGACCGTTGTACGCGATCTGGCGCTGCTGTAGCGGTTGCTAGGAACATCCGCAAACAAGAACTTCTGTCAAAGACAGAATCTTCAAAAATTATAAGATCTGTGATAAAATCTTTCAAAATTTAAACCGCCCTCATTGAAAAAATACCGAAAAGTGTTTAAAGCGTCTATTTTCAAAGTAATTATTACTATCTTGTGAGTTTAATTTAAATTTTATTTACTCAAACCCGTGATAATTGTTAAAAAGTGGCATTAAAAACTTCTGAAAACTATATACAGGGTATATAGTTTTCAGAGATGCTAAATTTTTAACGTTTAAATTTTATTTTTATTTACAGAGTGATGCAGGTTTGACAGGGAGAAAAATTATTGTCGATACTTATGGCGGCTGGGGAGCCCATGGAGGTGGCGCTTTTTCAGGAAAAGATTTTACCAAAGTGGACAGGTAATTTACCAATATCAACTTGTGATATATTTCGTTGAAAAGAGAACAAGTTAGTAACTTTAATGATATTGAATAATTATTTACTGACTATTTCTTCGCCTTTCTTAGAAAACGGCTATGTTGAGAATGTTTCTTTTTTGCATTCAAATTGGTATGTATTATACCGTGTGTTACGAGTTGGAAAATATTTGTATTAAATTTTATGTCGGGATGGGGGTATTTTTCACCCTTCCCGTACTTTTTCTTGTTTTTTGACAAAGTCAAATGTTAAAGCACTTAGCAAAACATAGGCAAATCTCATTCAAATTGAAATAACGGTTCTTAATATATTTAAAAATTGTGTTTATTTTTTTAAAATTTCATGCCCTCTGACGGACAAAAGAAGCACTTTTCTCTAGAAGTAAATTGTGTCCAATGAACTTATTTTGATTCCAAAAATGCTAGTTCTATGTCCACGTAATATTGTGACACCCTCTATAATTATAATTATTATTCTTATATAAACTAATAAAAATTAAATGTGAATCTGTGTTTTTGAAGGCCAAGTTTCTATATATTAATTTCTTTTTAGATCCGCTGCTTACGCCGCTCGTTGGGTGGCCAAATCCCTTGTAAAAGCCGGAGTGTGCCGCCGCTGCCTCGTACAAGTCTCCTACGCCATCGGCTTGGCCGAACCCCTTTCAATTTCAGTATTCGATTATGGAACTTCAAAGCTTAATCAAAAACAACTTTTGGAAATCGTTCACAATAACTTCGACTTAAGACCAGGAAAAATTGTCAAGTAAGTTATGCTTTTTATAACTAATCATTAAGATTACTTAATGATTAGGTTTAGAATATTTGTATTATTACGAACCATCAATCTTCATACAATTTTATGATATTATTTTATATTTTACTGCAATATTATCTTAATTTATCACTCAGGTTCATCAAAATCTCTCAGGTTCTCTAAATACTGGGTGCGTCTCAAAAAAGGCTCGCCCCTACAACTTTTTTATTTTTTCAAATAAAAAAACATTATTTGATATGTTAGTATATATGACATAAATTAGGATTGATTGACGTATTCAATTGTTTTTGGTAACTTCCTGTTTCACCGGAAATGACTACAACTTTTGATTTTTAAATGGCACCCTCGGTATATTTCTACTTTATTCAATAGAAAATGACACGGAATAGAATGATATGATATGTCAACTTTTGACATTCTCGCATATGGATTATTTGAAATTGTAACATGCGGTTCATAACGACAATTTGACTCGAAATACCAACTATGTGGTACCAAATTATTTGTAAAAAATGCTTTTTCCAAATATTCTAATGAGCCACCCTTGTCCCATTTGAAAAAATTGATATATGATTAAAAATATGATTTAGACATCTTTTAACCGTCCAGGGCAAGACGCGAACAACATTAGATCAAAACTATTTTTCCAAGGCTCCTAGATGAAAAGTTAGTGTTTTAACACAGCCATGCCATGGCACTCTAGATTGAAATTCAAAATACGATTTGTTTTCAAGCATAAATGCCAAAAGCTGACATTTGATGTCATTCTCTTCAGAGTGTGTTTCTATCGAATAAAGTAGAACTATACCGAGGATGCCATTTAAAAATCAAAAGTTGTAGTCATTTTCACTGAAACAGGAAGTTGCCAAAAACAATTGAATACGTCAATCAATCCTAATTTAGGTCATATACCAAATCTGGTTTTTTTATCTGAAAAAAAAAAATAAAAAAGTTATAGGGGTGAGCCACTTTCGAGACGCACCCGGAATATTCAGACATTCGCCGTCATTGAAAAGATTACATTCTGAAAAATAAAACAAAGAATATACCATCGCTTAATCATTGAAGTTCTGATCTAACGTTCATATTTATTTTTTAGGGAGCTGAACCTCCGTCATCCCATCTACCAAAAAACCAGCACTTACGGCCACTTCGGACGTTCCGGCTTCACCTGGGAAACCCCCAAGCCCCTCAAGCTAGGCAACCTGGCCAATCTAATTTAATAAACCATTACCCACATTAAGAATCCATTAAATTTAGGAGCTTTTAACTATGGAAACATAGCAATAGAATAGATGTGTAGTGATAAATGTTACATAACTTATGTATCATTTTTTCTGTGATGGTCCAGAAATTAAGTATTTTTCGTAATATGGATAAATCACCAAGAAAAAATCGGAGAAAAACTTTAGAAAAGTAGTTCCGTGAAAGCTCGACGTTTTTTTCGTGGCTGAACCACAGCTATGTCGGTGGGAATTTTTGTGTGATCAAGAATGTTGTTTCCCGTTAAGATCGAAATCAAAAAGAGTAACAATACATCACATATTCTGTCGGGATTTATAGGACTTAATATCTGCTATTTGTTACTTTTGTCAACATCAAAGCGAATGAGAACAAAACGACTAAAAAACTCGCCGATGCATAGTTGTAATCAACCGATCCAACGCCGTTTTTATTTTAGTAGCATACCTTTACCTACCCTTATATAAATATCCGTGTTTTTTTCGTAGTTTAAAATAAAAACGGAGTAGTTGATCGGTAAGATTATGTTGTGCCGATGACCAACAAAATTACGGGAAAAGAGCGTGTCGTTTACACACCGGGTTCTGCCGGAAAAAGACGAGCTTTCCCGAGGTTCGATTGGTTTTCCAACGTTGACATTCCGACCGCTTTATCTTTAAAAGAAAAGAAAAATATATATACAACTGTCTCGAAATGTATTTCAAAATCATATTATGAAAAAAGCAGTTATAATAAACAGGGTACATTTTCTGATATAATTTTAGAGATAAATGCGTTTGCAGTGTACCGTTGTATTGTATATTAGGTTTAATTAATTATTTATTAGATTACTTTTTAATATAAGAGCATTTAAGTTGATGCCATAATCTGTAAACTGGTGACCGTGTTATTTTTTAATAAGTGAAAAAGCAAGTTATCGTTTGACAAAATCAAATAAAACATGTTTTTAATGACATAAGGGATCAAATGTTTTCTTTGTTTATTATTAATTATAGCACATTCTATTTGTGTTCTGAAAAAAGGGCATTTTTATGACGAAAATTGAGCATGATTTTTATAGATGACAAAATTTATTTATTTATGTTTGTAAATCTAATAAATTTTAGGCCTTTATGTCTAAACTTTTTTTTATATTCTTTGTTTTTTACTGAAATGACATGTATTTTCTCTCCCATTGTAATAAATTTTCTTCTAAAGTATTCTCTTTTATTTAAGTACCCAGTGAATAATATCCCTCATGTATTAGTGATGTAAAAATTCTAAGTAATCGTTACAAGTTTTATACATATTTTTTTTTTTGTTTTATCCTTATTTCTAGATTTGAATGTATAAAATATCTTACAGCTAATAAATAACTAAAAAAAAACGATTCGTTGCCTGAGGTATACTTGAAATAAAGTATATAGAGATATTTGATAAATGGCAACAGTGGCAACTTCGCTTCTTCAAATGATAGATAACCTACTTATTTCGCGCAGCCGCAAAGAAAATTGAAAATGGGACTGTCGCTACTCGGCGGTTTACTTACTTTGGTAACAGTTACTTTACGAGGACTCGAAGTAACGCTTACCGTTTGAATTTAGGACTCGTTACTTTTGCGCTGGCAGTAATCGTAATCTCTGGAAATGCACGAACCGAGGACTCGATACTGAAGTATTCCTTACTTCGATGTATGTAGGTCTAGTTGTTACCAATATGTTTATGTTTAAAGTGTTGACTTGACGCCGGCGCCGCACAATGGATCGAAGTATAAGAAGATAGGGACATTGGCTGTTTTTGAAGAGTTCCAAATTTAAATATTTTTTTACATATTTGTGTTAAAGAGATATTCTAGTCTTGTAAAACATATACAGTATGTCTGTTTGTTATTTACATATTGAGCATATGAGCACCAATTGAAGTAAATTGAAAAATCATTCAAATTGGTAGATAAAGAGTCTTACATTTGATTGTAATTTTAAAATGGATGTAAAAGATATTCGTTTGTTATATATAACGACTTATTAGAAACGTTCTTGGGCTATAGTATTGGATTGTTAAATTTAAAAAAAAGTCACACCAGAAGTGAAAAACTCATTTGTTTATAAAGTTTTCTTGAATTACAAAAAAATGTAAGCGGATGTAAGTGGAGATATTACGTGCAATGTAAAGAGCCACCTTTACTCGCACATATCATAAAAAAATTGGCTGCCCCAAAGTGCCACTGCAAAAAATATAATGTTTTTAATATCAAAATCCTTGAATTTATGCAATGCACGCACAGTGCACCATCAAACAATTTGTAATTTGCCGATATTGGTAACTATATTCGTCGAAGAACATTGGAGTGGGACTGAATTACACTACAATACATAAGGCATATAGGTTGAAAGGCCCAGAAATGTTTTCGTTTTGGTATTCGGTACCTATTCGGCAATTTGTCGAGTTTGCCGTGGACGCGCATCACGCGTTGCTTTGCAGAATATATTTGCAATTTTATTTTAGATTTAGGGAGGAAATGGGTTTGATAGTCGATGTCGTTAAACAGGGATGGGGCAAACGATGGAAACACTGGGAGAAGATTTTTCCGAAACTTCGAAAAGTCATAACAAATTACAGGAATCGATGAATTGATTGCTGGAAAGACTATATATACATTACTCCAAGTTTTGGTTTCAGGAAAAAAAATAAATGCCGAAAAGTTTAATAAATTTGCAAAAGAGACTGCAGAAGAGTTAACCTTTATGGATGGTATTACATGCCATCTTCTCTACACAAAATTTTGATACACGGAGCAAAAATCATCAGCAATTTTTGGTTTCCGATAGGGCATCTGTCTGAAGAGGCCTCAGAGTCTAGGAATAAATACTTTCGGAAATATAGAGAATCCCGTTCAAGAAGGTCTAACAGAACTTTTGCAAATGAAGACATTTTACATAATCTTTTGTTGTCTTCCGATCCATATATAACTGATATGCGTAGCTGTGATAAAATTCATAGCGATTTAACAGAGAAAGCAATATCTCTTTTGTTATAATATATTTGTTTTCTTTTTTATTTAGAGATTAGTTCTTTTGCGAGTCACCCTGTATATTTTGTTAACTATTTGGTACAAAAGGCCATATTAATTTAGATTTAACAGAGAAAGTAATTTCTCATATGTTATAATGTTTTGTTTTCTTTTTTGTTTATAGATGAGCTCTTTTTGAAAGACACCCTGTATATTTTTTAAAATATCTGGTACAAAAGGCCATATTAATTTAGATTTAACAGAGAAAGCAATTTCTTTTTTGTTATAATATTTTTGTTTTCTTTTTTGTTTAAATATTAGTTCTTTTTTTGAGACACCCTGTATGTTTTGTAAACTATATGGTACAAAATGCCATATTAATTTAGATTTTTGTTGTATTTATTGAAGTCGTACATAAAAAACAGTAAAATAAAAGTATTAATTTCGAAATAAGTCAATGTCCCTATTTTCCTATGCTTCGATCCATTGTGCGCCGGCCTGTTTTTTGGATGGCAAATGTGTGATATTTTTATTACAATTATTATGATTGGCTCATCCCGACCCGGCGGCGGTCTGTCCCTTTGCCGTTTATTGTCGCTTTTTATTTAGGTAATTCCGCACGTTTTTTCAATTTTAGTTGAAATAAGTAATATAAGATATTATTTAGTGGTAGATTTTATTTTTTGATTTATAGTTGCTCGCCATAATTTCGCCACTTACACTGTAAGAAAAACTATAAAATAAAAATAGTAATTTTTAGTAAACACTGCTGCGTTAATCCAAAGGACTTTTTTGAAGAGATGAATCCGTCACATAGGAATACAGTTTTTTAAGACATTTTTTAAATATTTTTACATTTTATCAAAAATATATACATTTTTTATTTTTACTCTTTAGTTTTTGCATAATTATTAATGTAAAATACAGAGAAAAAAAATTAAATACTTATTATACACATATTTTCTTTGTTTGATTTGTTTTCTTTTATTTTTAATTTTATTAATACATACATACTGATAACATATCATTATAAAATGATTATACATATTATTCAGTACTTGAATATCGAGTATTGAAATTATCCTATTAAGCCCTTACACTAGAAGAAAGTAGAAACCCCTTATAGGTTAAACCGAGCACGTAACGAAGATCGCCGCTCACAATAAGTAACGAAGTTCCAAGTCAAGCCCAAGTCTTTCAACCTGTACACAAAACAACGATTATAAAGTAACGATACTAAGTACCAAAGTAACGAGTAACTAAAGTTTACATCACTACCATGTATTGCCATTTCCTACAAGAATTATTGTAATCTATAGAGATTTTCAGAAGTTAGTTTTATTTACTCTAGTTTTCTGCAATTTTACGTCCACTTTTATTATCAAAGTGATACGAATTTTTAAAGAGAGATGGTACTGAATAAATAATAAGAAATCTAGAAGAAAAATAATACCGGTTTTCCGAGCTAGAAGATACCTTTCACACTGTCCGGCACGTATCGCATCGTGACACGTGACATTTCCGTTCAATATACTTTTGAATGATATTTTGTCGGATGCCGGTAGGTGCGGATCGTGGCGGAAATTGTGTTAATTCTTTTAACATGGATATATCACAAAGAAAGGCTAAGTAAGGGGAACAACAGACGTTGTCCATTATACCGTGTTGGCAACTGTTACTTTTGGGTCGGTATTTACATGTGTGGAAGTAAAGTAATCGTAAGTAAATCGCATAGGGATCTTATTAAGTCGGAGTGAGAGAAATGCGACGGTGTGCTGTTGCGGCGTTGCCACATTTCTCCAGTACGCCTTTCCCTCTCAAGTAAAGTAAAATCCCGATCGCAAACCGCTTATGTTTAAGACTTTTTTCTAAAAGATAACTAGATAAAAATATTTAGGTATGTCTCTCAGCATCTGAAATGGTATTTATAAGGATATCGTTAGGGTATTCATATGAGAAAACGTCAGTAATCGCGATAATTTAAAAACTCAACTTTTTAACACATAATACGCGATAACTTAAGAATCACTTTAGATATTGAAACTTTTATTTTGAAGTTCAGAACTTTTACAAGATGTTTAAATAAGAAAAATTTGATAGGCTTGTTTTTTTCCAATCAAAAATTTTAAAAAACTCATCCATTTACTTTTAGCGCATAGTAATTTTCAGCAATCCTGTAACTTTCGTATTTATAAAGATTTTCACATACTGTCTGCGAAGAAAATATAGTAGAAATATTAAGAAAATTTATGAAAAAAACTACAATCAATTATTTCTAATGGATTTCGAGATATCGATTTTTGAATTCAGAGTTCTAATAACGCGACCACTGTCGAACACAAACTCAATTCCACTTATTTTTACCAAAAATGTAAGTGTTTCTAACTTACACTTAAAAATTTACAAGTTGTAGGGAAAATTACAACGACTTGTTTAGTTACTACGACTAGTTAGAAATTATATAGCTATTCATATAGCTTTTCCACTGTACAATCTCCTGAATAGCCGGGGAGAGAGTTCCAGGATTAAAATGACGATTATAATCGCGAGCAAATTTGAACGAAGTCTGTGGGGGCCTTAATAGAAAGTATTTTCAAACGTATTGAAATGAACAGGTGTTTAATATTCAAATTCATAAGCAGATTTTTTAGTTCTATTCGGATTTCAAATAAATATTTTCTGTATGACAAAAGCAATCAACTGGTTTTTCTAGTGACGACTTTTTCTCATACATAGAAATACCTCAGTATTTAAGGAAACAATGAAATTGTGTTTTATAAATATATTGCCTTTAATACACTTTTTTAATTAAATTCGAATCAAATATAGAAAAATATAAAATCTTTTACTTACATTTATTATTTTACTTACATTATACCGAATATAAGTATCAACAGTATCACCACAGTACACCTTGTACTGAACTATAACACACATAGTAGCTAGGTTTAAAAGAATTAACTTGTTTAGAGAGTTCCATTCAATGTCTTGTCTAAAACTGACATTGCTGATCCAATAAGATGTATTGATCCAGTAACTAAAACGTCATATTCCTTATTTTTGTTATTTTCCAAAAAGTGTACTGCCTTTGCAAATGAAGGAAGCACCTGTGAGGTACCATTTGGATATAGAATATCCCATATTTCTTTATTAGCTTTGCAACGATTCAGTTGATTGTTTAGCGGTTGAATGTTGTCCAGCGAATCTGAGAAATTATTTTTAATTAATTGAATTCCATATCATTATTAAATACATATATGATATACCGGGTGACAATAAAATCGTTGAGCAAATCGCCATTGCCCTTTGTGAAATAAATTAAAACATAAAATATTCCAAAAGAAGCAAAAATACTCGGTCTCAACATTTATTATTAAAAAAAGACTTTAGTCTTTTTGAATTATAAATCAGGTCTCTTTGGGAATAATGGACTCCTTTTTTAAATTACACAAAATATTGATTACTTCACATTACGTAGTCGCATTTCGCTGAGCAACAACAACGTATCGTTCTAATATTTTTTAAAACGCGTTAAAATTATTGGCGTAACTACAGGAATGCCCGGGGGTGTCGGGTCCACCCCAGGGCCCGAATTCTGTAACTTTGACATAAATACGTTACGCTTTCAAAGCAGTGAGCGAAAGTATGCGATTAGCGGAACGCCAAGCAGTCAATTTTGGTATTCTAGCCGTAGGAATATATATTCTAGCCGTAAGAATCGTTTTCTGGATACGCGTTGAGCACATATTGACAGCATCGCAATTTCGCAGGTATCTAATAGTCAAATGTGAATAAAATAATGAAAAATGTCAATGTTACGTGAATTTCATAACCTATTGTTGAGTTATGTCAACCTATTTTTCTATGGATATGCCATTATTCTTATTATACGAGAGAAATGTTGAAATTATAGAATAATTTTCATTAAAGATCAAGATAACGCACAAAATCACAGTTTTTTCGATTTTCACTGAGAGTTCGATAAGCAAAAGATCCTTTAAGGCAACCGTTTTCAAAGTTACAGAATTCGGGCCCTGGTCGTGCTCGGCACCCCCAGAGAAATCATGAATCTTGACTAAATTATGACTCTTGCCGCTTGCCTAAATATCCATTTTTATTTGCTTGTAATGTAGTAAAAATGACTTTCTCTAGTTTTGTTTGGTTAATATTATTTTGTTTTGTTTAGAAAAGTGAAAAGAAAAATTTGAAAAGTGAAAAAAAAGAAAATTTGTGGTTTATGTTATGTATTTTATTTCTAGAAAAATACATGTAAACGTTTTATTCTTTTTATTTATTTTTTTAAAAAACAAAAGCCCTAGGCCCCCCATAGACCTTAATCTAGATCCACCTCTAAAAGCATCTCTCTCTTTCTCTCTCAAAGCATCTCTCTATTTCTCAAAAGCATATATCTCTCAAAGCATCTCTCTCTCGAATCATCTCTCTATCTCTCTCTCTCTCTCTCTCATACTGAAACAGCTTTTTCATGTGGTCTAAATTAAGTCATAATTAACTTTATAAATTAATATTTCCCGGAACAACTTTTGATTTTACCAAACATTTATATGTAATAATAATTTTGGTTGTAATCTGATGAATTATATTTTAAAAAGAAGTTTCAAACATTCTTCATAAAAAATGTTCCAGCAGCGGTTTGTGCAACGATTCAAATCACTAAATGCCTGTACAATAAATCTTTAAAAGTTAGTTAACGGCATTCTGATAACTTCAGAACATTCTTAGATTAAACAAAATATACCTGCATTGTCGCTATCATGTCCAATATTGGGTATGAATATTGCCATACTAAAATGGCATTTAACCAACACTTCTAGTAGATTTTCTGGATCTCTATCTCCAATAATATTAAATATCAATATTCTTTCCTTATTTAATATCGATTTAGATAAAAACCAGTCCACACAAATAAGGATACTCTCCGAAGTATGCGCTCCATCAAGGTAAAACCTGTGAAGTAGTATTACTGTATATTATTTATTTAAAAATATACTTATCACTTATTACACCGAATTATTCCTTGGAATTATTTCATATCTTCCAGGCCACTTGGTCATATCTATTGCTTTTTTAGCCAGATCTAAATCAAACTTTCCAATTATATTATTATTGTCAGTTTTGGGACCTATAACATATAAATTGTATAATATACCCAGTGTTAAATATTCAACAATTACGATTGGGATATCATAAACTGTAAGAGATACAGGGTGGATCAAATTACGGACAAAATTTCCGGTGAAACAGGAAGTGACCGAAGCTAATTAACTATGTCAATCGTTCCCGATTTAAATATTGATTTTATATCTGAAAGAATAAAAAGATATAGGGGCGAGCCACTTTCGATAAGCACTCGGTAGGTATGTGCCCATATTAAAAAATAAATTTGATATTATAGTTCCAGAAAAACAAAACGTAAGTAACGTTTGACATCGCTGCCAAATAAAGATAAAATAGTTTATTTGAGAATGTATTTGTAATTTTTTTCTCACCGATTAAATAAAATCATAAAGAAAATATAAAAATTGTGTATGTACTATGTGCGCATATTTGAAGTAAAACTTCTTACTTCCGTTTGTCTGTCTGTCCGTCTGCCCGTCTGTCCGTCTGAGGACTCCATTCGGGTACCTCTATCCACGTGCCTAGTTTGGTGCCAATCGACCCATAATTAAGAAAAATCCCAATGATTTCGTTCATTTAGAGGTATCGGTTCGAAATGTCGAGGGCGTCATCCTGTAGCCCGTACCCAATTGTGCCAAAATCAACCCACATTTTTATTCAAGGCCAAATCGTTAATCCTACCCTGATGAAGATGTAAAGAAACGTCGTCAAAATATCATGAAAAGATGGGGCCCTTTGATCCAATCTACATTCCAAGTTTCAACCCCCCCACCCCAGCTTACATAGGGCCCGAGTTACGGCACGATTTTTCGCCATTGATGATGGGCTTTTATAGTGCGTGAAACGTCGTCAAAATATCATGGCAAGATGATCTATATTCCGAGTTTCAGCCACCTAGGTCACTAGGGCCCGAGTTACGACGCTCGTAAAGTAGCTCGTAAGTTTCACTTAAAAAAAGAAATTTCGGGTTTTCGCCATATTTCCGAGAATATCAAAGATATGTCAAATTAGTAAATAGATTACCGGGTTGTGTATACTTGGTTCATCGACACTTAACTTTGTCCTAAATAATAACCAGCCTGTATCTCTTAGTTTCCGAGATCCGAATGTAATGGTTTACAATGGTATGGTATGCATCGTAGGATCAAAGAATATTACTATTATCAAGTGATTTTTGAGTTTAACCGATCAAAAAACCTCATTCGCTTTCCCACAAGACTTTTTTGTCAGGCGCATCACACAAAGCATGCTTCATATGATGTCAAATAATTCTTATGAAAAATTATATTAGAATTTTTAACTCTCATAGCCCACTTGATTATAAAACTTGTTGGTCATATCGTAAATGTAATTTTTTTCCCGATCGTACGATACTATACGGGTTAAATATCGAAAAATCATAAGAAATGATGATTGAGGTTAATCACAATATAATTTGATATACTAGCCCAGGTCACTTTATTTCCGTGCTCTGTATTTTAATGTCATACGACAGAGATAAAAATATACGACCAGTTGACAGAGAGACAAAAATGCGACATACAGTATTGCCGGCTCGTGCGAGAAATAAAATAATAAACGAAGAGAATATATCTAAGCTATTCAATAATGCTCATTTCTGTTAGACAATCGTTTAAAAATCTATTACAGCTGTGGTAAAATAAGAAATTAAAAATAAAGTTTCAAACCTAGATGCAACATTTTTCGTAAACACCTACTTCTGCGGTTTGAAATTTTGATGCAAAATCCGGCAATACCGCTTAGAAGAAATGTATCAACCTAACTTTTATCTATTTTTAATACATTTGATTCTTTATTTAAGCTGTTTACATCACTGTCTTACACACTAAAATCCAGACCACCCAGTTTCGGTTACCAGATCGGTATAAACTAATATCAATCTTCATTTCCAAGCCAATTCTGTCGGTTTTTGTTCGATCGTAATATTTGGCAAAAACATTATATTAAATTTCAAATTGTAATTGAATAACATATATGTATAGCCTGTCAAGCAAAAAAGAATAAAATTATTAATATTAATAACGTCCACATAGTCCACATTACATTTGTTTCTAATACGTTTGAGCTTTGATTCGTGTTTCGTAGGCTCGTTATGATGCTCGTCTATCGACGTCTAGCTGTCTGTACTCGTAAGCAAGTTGTTCAGACTGCATTTATTTATTGTTCGCATAAGTTCACATAAAAGACAAAGAGTTTTCTTCCAGAATAATAATGACTTCTAGAAGAACTAAATGTTTTTATAATTGCAAGGCATGTTTTAGGCTTAAGTTATATACCTACTAGTCTAAGAGCTAGCAACGTTTTCGAGAAAGTATTTTAAGACAAGGCTCTTTGATATATCTTTTACTATGCTCTCTGGAACAGCATGCGGCCCGTTTGGCTGCCGATACCCGTTGCGTTTACTACTGCGCATCGGAAGAAGATCCTATATTTTTTTTATTAATTTAGTCCTATAAATTCTAGTATTGAATATAAATCGAACATGTCTCCATAGCGCAGTGCGTAGAGTTTCCGACCACGAACCGAAAATTCAGAGTTCAAATCCGGGTCAGGTCAAAGACTTTTTTATTTTATTTTCGTTTATATTCTGATAGTAAAGTATTAAATAATTCTGGTAATTAAAAAAACAAATATTTTATTATTAAAAAAAATTATTAGTTAACAGCTATTAAATTGAAGGATTTGAAGGACATGTTTGAAAAAGTAATAAATTAATAATTAATAAATAATTTGACTCCCTATCACAAAATTTGTATTAAAATATCAATATTTTTGATAAACACGTGGACTGCTCACAAATAGACGTCGCCTCACTACGTTTTTCTAAGCCGTAGGCTGTCCTTACCAAAGACATCAATTAATCTTGACATTTAATTTAGATGACTTTGGTCCTTACCACTGTTCGTCTCGCGCTTGTGTTACGGCCGTTTCGCTAGCTTGTGTGTCACGGCCTTGAATTTTTACTCCCAGAGCGCGTTAAGAAGTTTCACTTTACAAATATTCAGTTTCACTTCACAGTATAACTTCAATAGGCCGGACACTCCCTAGAACGGGCTCTACAGTAATCCGAACACGGATATTATTCGGGAATTTTAAAACATTTTCTCCTAAAATCCGGGCGCAAAAAAATCATATGCGAAATCTCAGAATTTTCCAATCTGGACTAGCAGAAACGTTTACATTTTGTTTATGAACTGAGTCTAAATTTCTGCATTAGATTCTAGAGCGGGTTAAACATAATAGTTCCAATCAAACAAGCACATAAGTTTCTTCACTCTAAAATATTACGCCAAATTACGGAACAGATTATATGGTTTCAAAATCTGGCAGTGTTTGACAAGAACAAAAGGGATAAAATAAGGACTTTTATTTCAAAATAGGTAGGAATACCATTATCGATGACGTATTGTTTTAAAGGCAAATAAAAACAATTTAGAAGAGAAGAATAATATATTATATGAAATGCGGGGATCCGTGACAGTGACACTTCTATCTCACATTTTAAATCACAGGTAAATTGTAATTTCTGCCATTTTCTGGATATCAGCTGTCAGAATCGGCCCTGAATCGTTGGGCAAACTATACCATTGTACAGGGTGTTCCACTAAGAATAGCTCTCGGCTGTATCTCGGAAAGTATTAGGCGTAGGGCCTACGGAAAAAAATATTTATAACTAAAGGAGCTATGAGAAATTGCTGGAAATTATTTTCAAGTTTGTAAAACGGCCGCTAGAGGGCGCAACTGTTATGGAAAATAAGAAAATATAATTTTTACAGAATTTTGCCTAGATAATGGGTACTATAAATAATAGCTTCATTATCTTCAATAAATTTTGGATTTTTTTTGTTAGAACCATTTTCCCCTATCTGCTAAAATAAAGTGGTGGGGGAAGGTTAGGTCTATCTTTATTTAAATGTTAATAACTCTGGACTGGATGATCAGAATCCAACGAACGAGGGCTCGTTTAAAAGAGCGTTTCTTACTCTATATTATACCATTAAAATAATAATAATAACGTTTTGAATGTAGACGCTAAGGGGCGCTTTCTTACAATTTAACAAACATAGCGCATCTTTTCAAAAAAAATTAAATTAAATACGATAGTATATGTAATTTTAGCTGGTAGTAAAGAGTAGTAAAAGCTTAAAAAGTCAGCGAAAACCGCATCTTGGTATCTTCTTTCAAACCGAAGATATTAGCAAAATTATAATAAATACCAAAAAATAAGCCCTTAATTACCTTATTTTTACAACACGGTATCAGTAGCCCTTTTTATTATGCCCATTCTAACAAAAAAATAAGATAGAAACATTTAGTTTATTTTAAAATCGACGAAATACCAGAATACCATAATACCAGATGTATTAATATCTAATAATTACGATATTAATAACATTGAACAAGAAACGATGATTCGGTGAAGTCATGGTAGGCTTGGTTTGGTTTGGTTTGGAAAAAAGTTGCTTTTGACGTAATAGTATAAACGTCAAATTGTTATTAGATCAACATTTTGATAGTCTTTTAACCTTTGATTGCTTTCTCAAAATGCTAACAACTTCCAATAATAAAGGCATTTTGAAAAAGCAATTAAAAGATAAAAAACGCTGCTAAGACTATCAAAATGTTGATCTAATAACAATTTGACATTTATACTATTACGTGAAAAGCAACTTTTTTCCAAAGCCTACCATGATTTCACTGAATCATCGTTTATTGTTCAATGTTATTAATATCTTAATTATTAGATATTAATAGATCTGGTATTATGGTATTCTGGTATTTCGTCGATTTTAAAATAAACTAAATGTTTCTTTCTTATTTTTTTGTTAGAATGGGCATAATCAAAAAGGGCTACTGATACCGTGTTGTAAAAATAAGGTAATTAAAGGCTTATTTTTTAGTATTTATTATAATTTTGCTAATATCTTCGGTTTGAAAGAAGATATCAAGATGCGGTTTTCGCTGACTTTTTAAGCTTTTACTACTCTTTACTATCAGCTAAAATATCATATACTATCGTAATTCATTTTTTTGAAAAAATGCGCTATGTTTGTTAAATAAGAAAGCGCCCCCCTAGCGTCTACGTTCAAAACCTTATTATTATTTTTATGGCATAATATAGAGTAAGAAACGCTCTTTTAAACGAGCCCTCGTTGATTGGATTCTGATCATCCAGTCCGGAGTTATTAACATTTAAATAAAGATAGATCTAACCTTACCCCACCAGTTTATTTTAGCAGATAGGGGAAAATGGTTCTAACAAAAAAAATCTAAAATTTGCTGAAGATTATGAAGCTATTATTTATAGTACCAATTATCTAGGCAAAATTCCGTAAAAAAATCTATTTTCTTATGTTCCATAGCAGTTGCGCCCTCTAGCGGCCGTTTTACAAACTTGAAAATTATTTCCAGCGATTTCTCATAGCCCCTTTAGTTATAAATATTTTTTTTCCGTAAGCCCTACGGCTAATACTTTCCGAGATACAGTCGAGAGCTATTCTTAGTGGGACACCCTGTACAATGGCTTATGCAACAACGAAATGATACGCATCCATTTCGTCAGAAATTTCTCGAACGAAAACAGAATTTTTAGCGCAAGTTATGAATTGCTAGATAAACTCAAGCTAAGGCACGAAATACGTTTTTTGACGACATGTGGCCAAAAATGTTACTGCTTTCCAGTGATGTCACCGCCGTGATTCCGTTTCAGGAAAAAGTTTAGATCTATTGTTCTAGATAATAATATGACAATATGAAAAGAACAAGTATACAACGCAGATGGGTGCATCAAGTTGAAAAATCAGATCCATATTTAAATATCGATAAACCGATTAGCTGTTTTCATTTTCTAAAGAAATAAGCTTAAGTAACTACAGTAATCCAGGCACCTCGATAATCCGGTCGAATGCCGGAACGATATCTGCCGGGACTACTGAAGTTATACTGTAATTGCATATTTATTAAATTTTTTGGCAAAATTCGATGCACTTAAATGAGCATACTATTGTATTTTTTCTTTTCGTCACATGTGCTTGCGCTCAGTGAGCTCAAGTGGCGATGTGAACAGTCGACACGCGAATTTTGCTCACCAAAGCATTAAATGTTGCGAACACAACAAGAGATTAAGAGATTTTATTCGTTCGTGGTGTTTGCTGCGTTTTTGCCGCAATCTTGTGTTCAGCCCGCACTGCTCGTGACTAATGTGGACCCACTTTTAAGCTCGCTACAGACTAAACATGATATTCGTGACTCCTGATGCGCAATACATAATTCGCGGGGAGTTACCAAATAGTGTACTGGGACTTGTTCTTTAATAGTAAACATCACGGTTTGTATGCTTAGTATACTCTAAAAATTTCTACAACAAATTGTATGACAACAAATAGTAATAACTACAACAAATTGTATGAATCATGCATCATCGTGTGACAATGCTAAACATTTTATGTAATTAAGGAAATAAAGGTTTTATTATTAATATTATTATTATCATGCACGACAAATTTCATAGAAACTAGCTTTACAGTGTGAGAGTACTAATTTCAAATCTACATTAGGTTGTCATTTCTACAATTTTCTAGATGTCATCTGTCAAAAGCAGATATTCTCTCGCTGAACAGACCATACATAAAGTCATGATAAAAAATATCAACTTGATTTATTTCTCTGTATACAGGGTGTTTCAAAACAAATGCGAAAAACTTCAGGGGGTGATTCCTTGTTGAAAATAAAGGGTAGTTTGCTTTATAAACGTTGGGTCAAAAGTCAACCATTAGGGATATATCGCGGTACAAAGATGGCGGAAAAATAATGTTTTTATTTTTTATCTTGAAAACGAAAAGAGATAGACTAATGAAATTTTACGGAAGCATTACTGTTATGAAAACACACTTTCTGGTAATTTTTTCACTTTTTTAAAATGAGTGGAAGGGGTTGAAATAAACTACCCCTATCATTCCTGTTAATGAAATTTAAAGAAAAATCTTATCAAACACATGCAAAAAAAAATTAATTTTGATAGTTTAGTTTATTTAGAAACTTTTTTATCTCTTGTGTTTTTTTGATAAAACTCACCGATTTGAAATTAAAAAATAAAATGTAAAGCATTACATGTCAGGACAAAAAACATTTTTAGATAAAGAATCTAGCGGGCAGCTGTAATTTTTTTAGGAAAAAATCTAGTCGGCCGCTGGCACTTTTTAGGATGTTTCTAATATTGTTTTATTTGACATTACCCTACTGCAATAGGTTATTATCTAGATTATTATTATTATCATTATTATCACTAGATTCTTAATCTAAAATATTTTTAGTCCTGATGTAATGCTTTACATTTTATTTTTTAATTTCAAATCGGTGAGTTTTATAAAAAAAAATACAAGGGATAAAAAAGTTTCTAAACAAACTAAACTATCCAAATTATTTTTTTTGCATGTGTTTGATAAGATTTTTCTTTAAATTTCGTTAAGAAGAATGATAGGGGTAGTTTATTTCAACCCCTTCCACTCATTTTAAAAAAGTGAAAAAATTACCAGAAAGTGTGTTTTCATAACAGTAATGCTTCCATAAAATGTCATTAGTCTATCTCTTTTCGTTTTCAAGATAAAAAATAAGAACATTATTTTTCCGCCATCTTTGTACCGCGATATCTCCCTAATGGTTGACTTTTGACCCAACGTTTATGAAGCAAACTACCCTTTATTTTGAACAAGGAATCACCCCCTGAAGTTTTTCGCATTTGTTTTGAAACACCCTGTATAGTTAATAAATTTTTTTAAGACAATTGATTAATTTGTCAAGGCGAGAAAAAAAGTGACATCTAAAAACATATTATATCTCATCAGTGAACTCACGCAAATCAACAAAAGCTTTAGATATAGCCAATGCCAAATTTGCATTGGTTGTTTGTACATATAAAGGAGTATTTGAACCATGAACATCTGTATATAAGTTTTCTGCTATATTTAAAGTGCACTAAAACATAGTTTTTAGAATAAATATTTAAACAACTAGACATGAGTTACCTTCCTCTCTATACTTCTTTCTTTCAAAACTTTCATTGCATTCTCAGGTTGATTTGTAGTAAAAATTTGTGCATCTGGTTTCATTATTCCAGCCTTATTCCAAGCTATTGATTCTAATGTATTGCCTAACAAAGAAGTATGATCAAAACCTAAAGGTGTTATTCCAGCAACAAGAGTTTTTCTGTAATATTTAGTATTGTTTATACATAAATACATAATAGGTACGATCCACAGATAATTTACCTTACTATGTTTGTGCAGTCGTATTCACCACCAATACCCACCTCCAGTATTACCACATCAACATTTTCATTAAGAAATATATGAAATGCCATTATTGTTAGAAAGCGAAAATATAAGGGCATATCAAATGAATTACTCTAAAATCAAATTTTAGAACATTTGCATAAGAATAGACACAATTAACTAACTTTTTGTGAATTTAGGTCATTATATATTCTCCAGAAATAGTCTGCAAACATGGCCTGAGATATGGGCAACCCATTAAGCCTTATACGCTCTCTCACTTCCAGTAAGTGCGGAGATGAATAAAACCCCGTCTTGTAGCCGTGACTTCTCAAAATACTTTCGCAATATGAACAGGTGGTTCCTTTGCCTTTTGTTCCAGAAACATGAATTACTTGCAAAGTATCCAGTTGGGATAGAGACACCCCCGTTCTATAAATATACGAAAAAATAAGATAATTACATGTTATTTTCTTTGTAAATTCATACTTATTCAAAAACTTTTGCATTTCCATCATATTTGTTTGTGCCATGTTTTTAATTTTTGCATTTTTGATATAATTGGCATTGCTCTGTAATGTATTTAAAGTCTCTATGGCTTCCTAAAAATATGAGGATAATAATATGTAATATAAATCGTGTAATTTATCTCACTATATAACTACTAGGCATTATTGAGGGCAAAATTTTTGCTAAGCCTTTTCTATTAAATATTGACGACACAGACATAACCTTAAACTGCCTAAGTAAAAGTAAACGGTTTCGGGTTCGTTATTTGTGAACAAATAAAAACATTTTTTAGAAAATTATCACTCTTCATAAAAATTTTTCATGAATTAAAGTTCATATTTATCTGATTGTATTTGATCTTTTCTTACGTAATAAACACATTTAAAATATTACCAGTGATTTGTTAGGAAAAAAATCAAAAATAAATAGAATTATTATGAACCTACACCAGAGATATTTTCGTACTTACCAAACCATAAACTTTATGGAAGGTATATTTTCTTAAATTCTTTAGACGGGTTTGAAGAAATTTATTTAAAGCAGTTTGAAACATTTTTTGATTCATGACCATAGTCCTTTTTTAAAAAAATAAACAATGTCAATTGAAAAACAAATTTCAAACTTTAGCGCCTTCTGTTCATTGGCTACGGCTGCGTTCTATGATGCGCCAAGGACTGCGCTGAAAGCGCTATTCGTAGACAAATAACCACAGCAAATAACAAATTTAATTTTCGAATGCTGCGATCTTTGTCTGGGACTTGGTCTGGGATTAAAGCAAATTAAAGTAAATTTGACCCCTTGAATTTGACCATTATTCAGATTATCAAGATAATAAAATATGAAAATTAAAAGATAAACCATAAATATTATATATTAATTTTCTTTATTCTGATTATAGGCATAACAAATAAAATAACAATAATTAACTTTAAATCGTAGCTAATCTATAAATTAATAAATAATTTTGGATAATAAACTGACTGTAAAAAAGTAAAAAGTAAGTATAGAAGTATGTTAGCTTACTTCGGGTTTTTCTTATTACCGATTCTGAACCGTCCTAGAACTGTGATACGCATGTGCAGAAGAAAATATGTAGAAATTATTTTAGCTTTGTTCGGGTTCTTGTTATTACCGATTCTGAACCGTCCTAGAACTGTGATGCGTATGCGCAGAAGGAAATATGAAGACATTATTTCATTTGCGTATGCGTTGTAGAGCTCTAGAACGGTTCAGAATCGGTAATAGCCTTGTATATGATATGAACAAGGGTAATAGTAAGAACCCGAACAAAGCTTTCGGATTTTTCTTATTACCGATTCTGAACCGTCCTAGAACTGTGATAAGCATGCGCAGAATGAAATACGGAGAAATGATTTCATTAGCGCATGCGCGGCAGAGTTCTAGGACAGTTCAGAATCGGTAATAATAAGAACCCGAACAAAGCTGTTATATCACAGATTAGGTATCCAAAGGGTATCTTATAAGGTATACAGCAGGTATACAGATAAAAATCTTGTCCCGTGGTACAAAAAAAAATCGTGGTACGAAAATTGTTTTTTATGACGATGCAAAGTTATTTGCTGCTTTTTTACCACACTTTGCACGTAGTAATTATTATAGATCTTGTATCCATGATTCGTCGTACCAGTCGTACCATCCGTGACCGTACCCAAAGCCAACTTTGTGTACGTATTACACGTAATTACAGCTTTCTCGGAGATGCAAGTGATGCAAGTGGTCAAGAAGAGGTACCTTGATGGTACCTTGGTTGCCTGGTTACATAGGTTGAACATGGTTGCTCTGATGGTTGGTACCCAAGACTCAAAATAAACCCATGATTACCGGTGGTACCACTAGTACTACCCATCCAAAGAATAAATAAATAACAATGGCATTTTGTCTGTCATCTGTCTGTCAGTTACTTTACGTCATCAAGAAAAAAACATGGTGGTCAATGTTGTGTCGGGCGTTGTGAAATAAAATCCATTTGGAACAAATTATTTGATGTTTATTAGTTTTATATTTAATAATAAGCGAAGATAAATATTAACCTTCTTTGTGATATTATAGTTGGGTAAGTACCTCTTAGAACCAATGAGTTAAATAGGAATATTGTTGGAAGTTAAATTAACGGTACCTGCACTGACGTACTATTTGGGAAGTTGTTCTTTTTTTTTAAATAAGTTTGTTATCAACGTTCTATTAACTCCTTAATCCGGCACTGACATTTACATCACAGCTTACTTTTCATTGATTTTACGGAAAACGCAAGTGCAGTGATATTCTATTTGTTTTTTCCTTGCTGGTGACTCACTGTATTTTAGTCCCTGCCCTCTCACACTCTCTTACCAGCGAAATCTTGTTGCTAAAATCATGGAACTTTTTGCAGATAGACCAAAACCCGCAATGTCAGATAGAAGAGCAGAATTAGAACGTAAGAAAGCAAAACTTCAAGCCCTTAGGGAAGAAAAGGAGCGGCGTAGAAGAGAAAAGGAATTAAAAGATGTTAAAGAAGCGACGGATAGGGCACATTTGGTGGCAGGTGGAGATAGGAAAGAACTGGATGAGATGCTTAGCGAAGTTGGAGTTGCTCCACTTTCAGAGGTCTATTCGAGCATATCTAGTGCAAATTCACTCACTCCTGAACCAAGTAGAAACCATACGCCTGACACTTCATTGCAAATGAATAGCTTACCTAATAAGTAAGTTTACTATTCAGGTGTTTATTGTATTATTCTCATTGAATGTTAATTAAAATGCGAAGATTGTTTTAATGACATTGAATTAAAGTTTAAGATGGTTAAGAGTGAAATCAATAAGTTAGATAACATGCCCAGATGAATAAAAATCTATGTTGCATAAAATTAATTTTAACATTATGTATTTTTCTCTATTTCAAATGGGAGACACTGTATTTTATGTCATGAACGGGAGTTTTTATCCGATTTTATGTTTGTTTTTATGTTTTGATAAATTATTTTTATATTCAATAACAATGTTTATACAGGCTGTGCCAATATTCCGTGGACATAGAACTACTATGTATTTTTGGAATCAAAATAATTTCATTGGACACAATTTGCTTCTATTCAAAAGTGCTGCATTTGTCCGTTAGAGGGCAGCAAACTTTAAAAAAATAAACAAATTTTTCGAGATATTTTAAAAATCGTTATTTCGATCGGAATGAGATTTTGGGTGTCTATGTTTTGCTAAGTGCTCTAACATTTGACTTAACAAAAATCAAGAAAAATATTTCTTTTTGTAAAATGGTCCTTCTAGTATTTACTATATTTTTGTCTCTTTTAATAAAACGTTACCGTGCATACTTTTTGAGGAAAAACATTTTTCCAAAGCTGACTGAAAATGTTTTTTGTCACATCGATCTATGGATAAAATCTATTATGCTCTAATAATCTAGTTGGCAAAAATATGGAATTTTATGTTATTATCACAAATTATATTTGACAATAAGTTTCATAAAACCTTAAAAAAATTTTAATTTTTAAATTAATTAACGTTTAGGTTTATTTTTGATTGATGCCCTCTAACAGACAAACGATAGTACAAGTAACACTTTTGTATAAAGGTAAATTATGTGCAATTAACTTTTTTGTATTCCCTAAGAGTTACTGTTAAATCCAAACGGAAACCAGCTTATCAATGAATTTTTACTATCAGAACAAATATTCCTAACCAACAAAAAATGCTTAATGTTTTAGAAGGTATGTTTCTACTCATCGTGAGACACAAAAAAAATAAAGAACAAAGAAAAAAACTATTTAAAATAGACTACTATTTTATTTAAGAACACTGATTAAACCAAAATAATTCAAAAATGATTTACGAAAATATAGACAAACCATATACATATTTGTACCCTAAAAGCTGACTATGATAAATATGCTCTAAATTGGCATATTTAAGATATACAGGGTGGTCCGAACTGTATTTCCGAAACTTTGGCATCATATTCTGCAGATAAAAATAATAAGTAAAAAAGTTCGTATAAATGTATGTCCTAAAATGCTTAGTTTCGGAGATACAAGGTATAGAAATTTCATTTTTATTTTGATTTTTTCTAAATAATTTCTGAAGTAATGCCAATATTCGGATGAGCGTCTGGGAGTTTTTTGACATGAGAAATTTGATTTTGATGTTAATATCACTTCTACTAGTAGAGGGCACCACCTACATGTGTTTTAACTGTTTTGAAGAGTAATAACTTTTCGTCCGTACCTGTATAAAACTACTGAGTGAAAAAGTACACATTTCCGTGATTTTTTTACGTAAAAAATGTCTCTTGGTGAAAATCGCTACGAGCAATCGTTCTGAAGATATTTGAAATGGAAGTAATCATTACATGTCATTATTGACAAAAAATAAATATGTTGAGTTGATAATTTATTTATAAATTTGGGCACTTTTTATTTTTTTTAAATTAATCATAAATTTTTCTTCGCAAAAATGATAATAAAACAGTTTCTGTTGAACTTTTGGCACAAAAACATTTCAAATTTATGATTGCAGTCTATTAACTATTTAGTCAACACGTTTAATTTATGTCAATGATGACCGGTATTGATAATTTCGATTCGAAATATCTCGTGAACCATTACACTTAGCGATTTTTACAAAGAGCCTTTTTTTAGGTAAAAAGCATCGTAAATGTGTATTTCTTTACACACTTTTGTACAGGTACAGACGAAAAGTTATTACTCTTCAAACCAGTTAAAAAATATGTAGGTGGCGCCCTCTACAACTAGGAGTCATATTGACATCAAAATCAAATTTCTCATGTCACAAAACTCCCAGACACCAATTTTCATCCAAATACTGATGTTACTTTATTTGGAAAAAATCAAAATAATAATGAAACTTCTACACCTTGTATGTCCGAAACTAAGCATTTTAGGACATACATTTCTACGAACTTTTTTACTCATTTTTATCTGCAGAATATGCTGCCGAAGTTTCGGGAATACAGTTCGGACCACCCTGTATATACGAAAAGTTACTTAGTTTTTTTTTATTCTACCCTTTGCTCTTTCTCGTTTTACGCTATCTGTACCAATAAATAAAATAGTTGGTTTAAAATTAAATTAAGTCCAATGTCAGCCCTGGGCTAAATGAGATTAAGTCCTTAGACTAAGAGTTATATTACTCTAAGGTTAAGTCACGTTACTGCAGTTTGGCTGAAACATCTTTGGTTACTTTAGTATGTTATGTCCACAGTGACTAAAATTTATTTTGACCGTTTTGCTATTATAGGGTAGTCAATTTAAACTTAATACAGATAGTAAATTGGTTCCAAATTGCAACATACATACCTCTTTTACGATTTTCTGTTAAATGTTTTCTTATTATATCAGTAATATACTTTTATTTGGACTTAAAATGGTTTAGCTTTATTCATTTTGGAATAAATAGGGACTTAATATCAGTTAAGCGTTACATAAGTCTAGTCCCGTAAATTTTCCTTTTTTTAATATACAAATTATGTTAAGTCCATCAAAAAAATATTGGTATTTGTAATTGTATTGGTAGTTTATTTAAAAAACTGGTTTATATTTCATTTTAGTTCAAAATAAGTTGTTCATATACCAAATATTACAGTCATTGGTTTAAAAAAAATATGCAGTAAACGACTTTTTTGTTGACCTTTAATCATGAACATGAACAATTTTGAATTCTAAAATTTTGATCATCTCACACACTGGTTAAAGGTTTAGTAGTTAATATTTAATATTTTATAACTCTTACATGGTTTTATCCATTTAGAATTTTCCTTTTGTAAATTTTCTTGATACGCCTGTGTTGTACATTGTTCATGTATGTTTTATTTGTAATTTTAATGACGTAAATTTTTTTTTGAATTGATTTGTATTGTATGAAATTTTTTTTATTTGTATATTTGTTTTTGTGCTTTTGTTTGTTTTGTAATTGCTTTGTCGATGAAGCTATTTTGGCTTTTTGTACAATAAAGCCTTGTTTATTATTATTAAACTTCAAAAAAGAACTTTAAATTCGTTTTTCTCAAAACTATGTTATGTGGCTTAACATGGTTTGCTTCTGGAGTACAGATATATGTTTGAAATCAGAGAAATGTATTTAAAAAAACTTTTCTGTATATAAATATACAGTGTTCCATTAAAAACATTAAGTTATATATTTTTTTCTTAATCTTTTGATAATTTTTTTTACTTTTTGACGGTTTAGGTCCTTACAATTCCTACATTTAATGTTTTTTACTTCCTTCATTAGGTGAGCTTGCATGTATCACACTAAATATCTTTGAACAACATGTACATACTCAGATGTAGAACTGTATCCTGATTCATTTTTAACTTGAATGTTTTTTTACCTTCAGTGTTATAGCTGTAAGAAAAAAAGCTCCTCAACTTACTGTAGTTCCAGTACAATCTACCAATATACCACCCAAAGAAGTAGTAGTCTATACAAAACAGACTCAAACCACTGCAACTGGACATGAGTTAAGAGATGGTAAGCATTTCTGCTTTAATTATTTTCGTTTTTTGTTAATATTCAAACATTTTATTTAGTTGGATTGTTGGTAATTCTATTTACTAGATATTTTATTTTCATTTCTTACTTTAATTAAAGAATTGTTTTTATTTATTTTAATTAGAATTAAATATAGGTATTTTCTGTTTTCTTTGAATATAAGTTTGTCTACATTGATGGTGATCAAAATTTGATATTTTTTTCTGGATTCAATTACACATAGGGTCGATTTAGTTTTATTTTAGTGGCTTTTTTTTGGTTGCGGAATTCTTTGTAGTTGAAAAGTAAAGCTTTAACTAAAATGTAAAGATTTTTTCATGAGATTTATTGAAAAATGTTATTAATGCTGCATTCTCAGATTATTATGGATACTCATGGAGAACTATTTGTGAGTATAGCAGGTCCAGACTGTTATGTAATACCTATGTTTTTTAAATTTATTTAAAAAGGGCGTATACATTTGAACAAAATAATTAAATTATTCCTAATTGAACTTAAGTTGTAACCCATAAGTTTATTTTTATATTTTAGTTTGAGCTTAGTAGTTACTGAAAAAGTAGAGTATAGAACTTTTAGTTTCTTATAGACTCGCAGTTTTCAATATCGTTTAGTTTTAGTATTTTGAATACATACAAATTAGTTTTTTTTTGACCAGATATTTATTTTTATTCATATAAGCATTTATTTTTTTATATAGTTAGTTCTAAAAGTTTGTATCAAATATTTTTTTTTATTGAGATATTGAAAGAAAGGATATGTGGAATTATTTCAGCATGCCTAATAACCAAAAGGAAAATCATTTTATATATGACAATCGATAATGATAATGTGTTCTAAATATTTTTTAAAAATCGTGTTCTTCACTAAAATTACACAAAACAAAGTAAGTCTAACAAAAAAATGTCTTACACAATATTTTTTTCTTTGTTGTCTAAACTTAAAAAAATAAAAATGATAAAAATAATAAATAAAATAAAAATGATATGTTTTTAACCCAACTCAGTTTTTTCCGTTCCTTTAAAATAGATCATTTAGAAAAATTTTGGTTTCAGTGAACTATCCAAACACTTTTTTTTTCTTTTAGAAAATGAAGCTTATTTTACCTTAAAATGAACTGCTTAGATTATTCGAATGTCTGATGTGGAAAAACATGTTTCTCATAAAAAATATTCTAGAAATTGTTGTTTTAAAAATTTTCAATACCAAATACCATAACCGATAATGAAAGAGTCGCTGACTTGTTTATATCAATTTCTACGTTTATGCTGACAGTATATAGTCTAAGCTAGCAACGTTTCCGAGAAAGTACTTTAAGATGTCTGACTCTTTGATATATCTTTTACTATGCTCCTTGGAACAGCATGCGGCCCGTCCGGCTGCCGATACCCGTTGCGTTTACTACTGCGCATCGGAAGAAGATCCTATATTTTTTATTAACTTAGTCCTATAAATTCTAGTATTGAATATAAATTGAACATGTCTCCATAGCGCAGTGCGTAGAGTTTCCGACCACGAACCGATGATTCAGAGTTCGAATCCGGGTCAGGTCAAAGACTTTTTTATTTTATTTTCGTTTATATTCTGATAGTAAAGTATTAAATAATTCTGGTAATTAAAAAAAAACAAATATTTAATACCTACTTTACTAGCAGAATATAAACGATAATAAAATAAAAAAGTCTTTGCCCTGACCCGGATTCGAACTCTGAATCATCGGTTCGTGGTCGGAAACCCTACGCACTGCGCTACGGAGACATGTTCAATTTATATTCAATACTTTAGAATTTAAAGGACTAATAAAAATGTAGGATCTTCTTTCAATGCGCAGTAGGGAACGCAACGTTTACCGACAGCCAGACGGGCCGCATGCTGTTCTAGAGAGCATAGTAAAAGATATATCAAAGAGCCAGACGTCTTAAAATACTTGTCTTTTCGACGTTGCTAGCTCTCGTACTAGTAGTGAATGTTCAACATTTGATTTGGCCGTAGGTGGACCTTACATTAACTTAATGTCTCATAGTTCAAATTATTCTGTAAGGTTGTTTTGATTGCTTCTGGTTTACTCGTTTTTTTTTTCGTTTTTCTCTGTTTGATTAATCGCATCACAGAAAATTCAGCGGAAACAACATTGCCTTTTCTTCTGTCTGTCATGCCAAATAATGTGTCAAAATTCTCCGCAACGTACAAATAGTACTAAAATTAAATTAAAATATTTTTCAGTTCCGTGCCTAATCCGCATTTTTCTTATTTAAAATTACTACTAAAAATGGTTACTTTTTGACCAAAAAAGAAAAAGAAAAATGCACAAATCGTGTATCTGGATAGTTCACCAGACTTAAGATTTTTATTTTTTATATTAAACTTGTCCTATCGATATTTTGTCATCTTCGTCTAAAGCCTCATACTTTACTTTTTTTTTACTTCTAAAGATCAATTTTGTAAATTCTCGCCAATACTTACGACACATGACAGATGAAATTTTTGGCGTAATAACTCTTTTTCGAAATCAGTAAGATTTTTGCCATTTAATGTAAACTTTTTGGCACACACTGTATCATATAAATATCTTACTATTGCTTACTTTTTCTCATTAGTTTGTTATTTCAACTTGTTTTTATGAATATTAAAGTTAATTTATCGCGTGATCGAATTAGAATGATGTTCGTACAGTGTTACAGATTAAGTCGGCATCATATGAATTTTTTTATTTATCAAAATTGACTTAAAAAAATATTGCCTCTTTTCTTCAGGCCTCTGCCAAATTTGACATTTAAAGTAACAAATGACTAAATAATGGGTTTGCTGGCAGAATTTCGAAAAACTTTATTAGAAAAAGTTGTTCCTTTTTTAATTATAATATAGGACGTGGCAACATTGCATTCTCCATAAGCACTATTAACAAATTTCCCGAAACTGAACAAGCGGCACTTAAAATTTTTTCAGTATTTTCCGGAAAATGTCAAGAAAAATAAATAATAAAATTTTCAACATTTTTTTTTCGTAAAAAACTCTCATGGGCGTGTTTCTAGAATCTGCACTTTTTGCTAGGACACCCTGTATATGTACCAATTTTTATCTATCTAGATGAAAAATAAAATTTTGTAATTTTTAACCAATAGCAGCCGATTCTCGTGGTAGAAGCAAAAATAGCTGATGGTAGTTCGTTTGTTAGTTAAATATTTACCTAGCTGTCATGTATTCAGTTAAATTTATTGAATTTGTTAATAGTTTTTAAAGAAAAATAAATTTACTTGTAAAAATTAGACAAAAATTGATGAAGTAGGGATAACTTCCGCATTTATGGAGATGGCATTATAAGGTTCATATTTGTACTTTCTGGGAACTTATTTGCACACTACTATATGTTAAAATGTATTTTTCATAGCTTACTTATAGAATTGTGTGGTTGGATATTGCCCTATGGTCTCTGATCAAATTACAATGAAAGTATTATAAAAAATTGTTTAACTTACTTTTAATACTATAGCGGCTCTCATTTTTAAAGAAATTTTAAACCTAAATATGATAATTAGAGGAATAAATTGAATAGAAATGATGTCACCTTGATATATGGAAGAATTATTTATAGTTTGCATCACACAATAATATTTTGACGACAATATTTAACTTCTCATAAAAAACTATTCATTTATTCAAAACATTGAACTAAATATACATATGAGTACTAGATAAATATTTGAATGACAAACGGATTCCTCTATCAGTTATTTTGCTTCTATCACAAGAATCGCGGCTGCTATTGTTTAAAAAAATGACGATAGAAATGGCTTCATCTAGATGGCTGAAAATTGGTATATTTATATAAAATTAGAAATGAAACAACTTTTTCAAATAGTTTTTCTTTTTTAAATTGACTAGAAACCCGTTTTTTAGTCATTTAAATGTCAAATTTGACAGATACCCGAGGGCAACAAAGTAAATTTTCTTGTGATATTTTTAATCTAACTCAAAGCAAATACCATCGCCCAAGTCAAATTTTACCAAAGTCAATAAATAAAAAAAAGTTCCATATGATGCGGACTTTATCTGTGACAAGTATATTGATTGTAATTTCCAAGCTAACTTGACTCCATTTTTTTTGTTCGATCACACGGTATTTCAATTAGAACGATTCGTTATTGTTTAATCAGAGAAAGTTTACTAGATTTGAATAGATAGAAAGAATATAAATAGATAAAATGAAAATCTTTTTTTTCTTCGAAATTTAGTGCATTTAAGAAAGATCAAAATTTGATTAGATATAAGCGATATTATTGTTTTGTATCATAAATGCTAACAAGGATTTTCTTCTGCATCGTCATCTCCACTTAAAGGCTACATGGAGGATTGGTGGAGACCACGCAAAGGTACGCATCAAGCATGATGCATATTGAATGTGTATCTTGTAGCTTATTACAATTATTACGCTGTAAATAGCACTAGTTTCTTAACATTAATGTAACAATATATCGATAAAATTATCACACAAAATTGAATTTCCCAATCAGTAGAAAATCCCAAAGATTAACCACAATACACAGAAACACTATACATATTTAAACTTCAATGACACATTTTTGGTCATCAGAGTATCTAAATTGTTTTTGTGTTGTGGTGGATTTATGATTTTCTTTGTGATTTGTAACAAAGAATGCAATCTGTTTTGTACATTATTTAAAACATTATGGCTCGTATTTATGCAGTAACGGCCAAGACCAGGTCTTGAGAGCGCAGTCGCGACTGTAAATACTAGCTTATATACTAGCTTATATTATGATGTTTTATTGAGTTTTAGTTGAGTATATATTTTGTGTTGTAATTTTATTGAGTTACACAAATGTAAAAAGTAATTAAAATTTGGTGTCAGAATATTTCTAAACTTATCTGTATTCTATTGCTTTGTCGGATATTACTCGTACATTACAGGGCGACTTAGTCCCTCTGTTATAATATCTTAACATTTTAATAACAAATTAATTTTACTCTAGAACTCACTGTTTCATTTAATGCATCAACTTCAAGCTTATTTTTCCTGATTCTATAATAATGCAAGTTATATTAGATTTACATGTTAATATATAGCTTGTGATTGACTGAAATGACTGAAAACAATTTGACAGTAAGCATAGAGTGACGTTTGGTGACAACTGATTATGTGAAGTCCTTGGTGATTGTCAAAACTGCAATACATAAATACATATGAATATGAAGACTAAAAAGTAAATAAGGTTCTAAGCGCCAAAAAATCGGTTTGTCATGTTTTATTTGTAAAATGTCCAAAGTTCCATAACCAACAACATACCGGGTGTTGCATCGTCGGACGGGACATAGGAAATCCCATGTAAATTTTAATGGTTTGGTTTGGTTTGGCTTCCCTAATTATTTTAGAGAATAATTCTATTTAGGTTTATTGAAGAGCACTAAAACCCACATTCAAAAGAATAACTGTAGTTATTTTTGATTAGCACGTTTACGAGTTATCGCCGATTTCTTTTTAAATATTTCTCCTTTCTTATGGCCCTATATTTACTTATGGGTACCAGTATGGCACTAGTCAAGATAAAAGATAACTGTCAAATGAAGTTGTCATTTCAGAAATTTACCTATTTAGTGCTTTATTGTTATTGAAAACTCATTTCTACATCGGAAATCTTAAAGATGTATTTATAAATATAAATTAATATGAATTAAAGTAAAATAAAATAGTCAATTACAATGTTAATTATAGTATTATTACAATATTCAATAACTTATTAATTTAGGTACTATTAAATTGTTAGAACTTTAGGATTTAAGAAGATGTTCAAATATTCCTCCATCGACTGCGAGACAATAACCCAAGCGATCATAAAATTCTCTTCTTACATTCGCTAGTTGGTAAACTGAAATTCTATTGTGTCCGAATATCCCTGCCCAAACATTTACGTTCTATGGATATTGCCTCCTTGTTTCGACAAACCTGTGTTGGTTTTCTTTGTTCCAATAATTTTTAACATTGGGTTCATTATTTAAAGTAAACGTGCATTCGTCCGTGAAACATATGTTTTTTAAAAATTCCCTATCCGTGTTTGCTCTTTCCATCGTTCAAAACAAAACGCCTGCCGCCGTATTTCGTCCCCATCTCATAACTCTTGGTGCTTTTCATATTTGAAGGAATAGTATTTATGTCGTTTCAAAATTCGAAGCGCTGTAGTGTGATCTATTCCTATTTCATCCTCAAGTTTCCTCAAATATCTTTAATGTGTTTACTTTTTCTAATAGTCAATTCTGTGACAATGGGAGAGAATATATGATTTTGATAGACGACAAAAGACAACATAAAATAATGTACTTTTAGTTAGAATAATAGACAACTGTAATTAATGTCATATATTCTTTCACTGGACTGACTATTTATTATGCGATTGAATGTATTGTAGATCCTTGTGCTGATCTTTCCATCGTTCTCTTCTACGCACAATAAAACTTCCAAGTCGGTATCATTTCTTGCATCTTCTCTTTGTTCCTGCCTTGCTTCACATCTGCAGTTATTTATTAGGGTACCTTTGGTTTTAAATCTTTGGATATTCCTTGCGATTGTAGATTTTCCAGGTATCGGTCTATTTGGATACAGAGCAGCAAACATGTCCGACACAGTTTTGATAACTATTTCCTTGATAATACCATTTAATCATCAATACTTTTTCTTCGGTAGTGTAAGTCATGGCTAATATTTTCGATGTAGGTATGAGTTTTTAATAATAATAATAAAGCACTAAATAGATAAATTTCTGAAATGACAACTTCATTTGACAGTTATCTTTTACCTTGACTGGTGCTCATAAGTAAATACAGGGCCATAAGAAAGGAGAAATATTTAAAAAGAAATCGGCGATAACTCGTAAACGCTAATCAAAAATATCTAAAGTTATTCTTTTGAATGTGGGTTTTAGTGCTCTTCAATAAACCTAAATAGAATTATTCTCTAAAATAATTAGGGAAGCCAATAATTGACCCCATTAAAATTTACATGGGATTTCCTATGTCCCGCTCGACGATGCAACACCCGGTATACGATGTTTTATATTTTTGTTTAATATACTATATTGGTTATACATGAAGACTACACGGGGAACCAGATATGGCACATTTTCATAGAAATTAAGATAGAGACCCAACTTTATAGGCAAATGTTAGCATTATTTGAGGTACCATCAAAGAAAGCAAGTTGTATTTTTCTCGATCCCAATTAAAATGAACAAAGCTGGTTTTTCCTTTGTAGTCTTCACATATATCAACAAATGTGGTTCATCTCGAAATAATGATTTTGGCACTTAGCACATTATTTACTTCAATTCTTCATATGTAGTAGTTTCAAAACAAACAAAAATTGTAGTTTTACCATTTGATAGCTTCAAATAATCATGATCAGCTGTCTCTGTGATTATACCAAGATATAGTATAGCCAAGAACTTTGGCTATAATCCTTGTAAAATCTAACTAATATGCTAATTGAACTCCTATCTTAACGTTGATTTTATTCCATCACACGGTATATCTTTAATGTGTTTACTTTTTCTAATGCGCAATTCTTTGAAAAAGTGAGAGAATATATGATTCTGATCGACGACAAAAAACGACATAAAATAATCTACTTTAAGTTAGTATATAACAACAAGTTAGTAACAAGTATCTATGATTTAGGACTGTAAATAATGTCATATATTCTTTCACTGGACTGACTGTATTTATTATGCGATTGAATGTATTGTAGAATTTGTAGTTATACAGGGTGAATAGAATTTTATGGTAGATATTATTCTTGTTTTCCTTAATTAGCGCCATAATGAGGCACAACTCTCCCTTTGATGTCAAACTTCCATTTGAGTACTTTCGTGACGAAATTAAGAAAAGAACTTTTGGAATTACCAACAAAAATATTTTCGTTGTTATGATATTTTATAAATAGGAATTAGCTTAGACGTAATTTAGTTTTATAAAAATCTAGTTTTATTTTTAATCTGTTTTTTTTTTCTTTTTCAATCAGCACACGCGACAGACTACTACGGTAAGTTTTGAGATTCCAAAATTTGATAGGCGAAGAGTTAGCTATTTTTTTTTGCTTCTAGCTAAATTACATAAATCTCCCAAGTTCCTTTTAAGTAGTTTATTTTCTCCTAATTACTTATGTTTGATATAGTCTGTATTTATTAGACTATCTTTAACATAAGTGTTTGTTATTGTATAACCTGTAAGTCCGTAAGAATATCCTTTTTTTCTTCCTTGTCCATGTCACAATTTTGTGCACATTGTGTATAAAAGGTCCTCCGCTTGATATTTCTTCTTATTTTAATTCTGTTTGGGCCACGAGGTGCGTTGTGTTCTATTTTGTTCACGTTCATGTACAAATGCCTTATAAACTGTGCTATGAGAAAATTGGGATTACAATGAAAATTACTATTAGGATATGTAAATTTACTTAGTTTTTCATCTGTACTTATAAATTAATATATAATTTTTTAGGGCAACAAATACGTAAACTGTAATGTTTTGCTTTTCTTAAAAATGGTTTTGTAATGCAAGGAAAATTTAATTGAAGCATTTGAAGATACGTATTTTTAATTTAGCATTTTTTTATAACGAATTTTTAATTGATACTTTCATTTGAACTGTTATTTTACTGTTTGTATTCGTCCGTAAATAATAGCTTCGTTCGCAGATCAGTCAGAAATATTTTACAACGGTCCGACGCATGCGCATGAAATTTAAAGGGTTCGCAGAAGCAACATTTGCGATTCCTAACCAAAAGTTGAGTGTTTGCAGAACAATTGGAGTTTCTAACTGGTTCATAATCACCAGTACAGTCCGCGCACTTGTAAGAAATTTTTAGGTTTAGTCTTGCGCATATTGATGCACGATTTAACGCACGCACAAAAACAAAATATTTTTGTATCAACATGAATAAAACAATTAGGCAAAAATAATTATATTTCTTGAAACATTTTGATCTGGCACGGTATTATATTATTTATTTACTTTATTATTATTACTAGACAAGAATAATTTATGACAACACATGAAAAATATTTATTTTAGGTACCATTCATTAGGTGGGCACACACGAGAGGTATTTTTAAACGAACTGTCCAGCTGCTCGATCTGTCGTTCCAATCCCACCGAACTGGTCTGCGAGAGGGTAGAACTTTCATTGTCCACTAACGTAAATATCAGATCTCTTATTTTCTGAACGGAATTGATCTGCGAAGGGACAAATTAGTTGGTTAGTTGCAAATACTCTTAAATTTTGAAGGGATTGAACCGCGGGTTAGATATTTTATACTCGTATAAAATCTCGGCAGATCTTCGGTAACAGATCCGGGATGGAGAAAGAAAAAAAAGTTGCATTATTGGGTTTGTGTATGCTGGAAATTGTAAAAAAACTAATAAAAAAATAAGTCGATCTAAGTTGATAAAAAAATGGGCTCAAGAGAAAGACGAATATATGGGCACATATCCTTCCCAAGTAGCATTTTCACGACTTGCGACCACATGTTTACTAAACACAACGTTGGATTAGTTACAAAAAATAGTTAGCTCCCTACCTTCGGTATTAAAATAAATTTAAACGTTGTGCCGACGTTGGACTAGTACTACAGCAAAGTAGAAGCTTCTGCGACGTCGAATAAACGTTGTCTTCTAACCTTTTTTGCTTAAGTGATCTTTAGGTGATTCGGACAACGTAGTTACAACGTTGGACAATATATAGTTTTCCGACGTCAGTTTCAGGACCTATTCCAACGTTATGCAAACGTCGTTTGTTTTACTAATTCCAACGTTGTTTAGATTTCCTTATTCTTACGTTGGTAGGACGTCGAGTCACTACCTTTTTTGCAACTGTATTGAACCATAACCTTAAATCTTAAATTTTCACTTCATTGTTCTGTTCAGTCAGACAGTTCAGTGCTGTTTTTTTTTTTATAAAAAAACTTAATTAAAATGGGACATAAGAAAGGTACATATAAAACTAAATTTAAATATACATCGACATATATTACCGATAATTTATCCACTCCCTCGTTTATTTAGATTATAGAGTGCGGCACAAGCTAGACTCTAGGATGACTAAATTAGGCAATCTTGCGACGAGTATACTACCTGTTAAGGCCGAACTGCGACTTTATTAGTCCAGTATGCGACTACTCGAACTCCATCTTAATCTCCAAAACAACAAAGTGAAAGCCGCCATGTTGTTAAATAAGAAAATGTTTCGTTCCTAAAATAGCAATTCCTGCTTTTTGAATACATTAACTTGAAATATTTGATCCTAAAAAACACGCGGAAACAATTTTTTCGACTGCGAATAAATTATTCTCATTTTACTAAAAAAAAAAAATTCAAGAAAATTTTTAAAACTTCTTTAATTTTAAGGCCCATTAGTATTTTTCAAAGTAGAAACAATACATTTATCAATAAAGTTGTTTGCGTTTAACTTTTTTGCCTTGGGTAACGAGTTACAGAGTCGGTTAAAGTATATCAATAATTCTGATCTTCAAACATCCTCCACACTTAAATACTTTTGTTTTGTTTTCCTTCACTGCCATCTGACATATGTCTCTAACTAAATCATAAAAATAATATTTTTACTATAATTATCCCAATTTAGGATAAAACGCGACTTAGACGCCATATTAGTTTTGTATTTCTGTGAATTAGGATTTTAAACAACGTTGCAGTTTGTACTAAATTAGGCTTCTAGCCAACGTCGGTATCCAACGTCGTTTCGACCCAAAAATTATTCTCCAAACTAGTGCAGACTAGGGTTGGCACGAGGTTGTGCCGACGTTGCGCCCCGACGTTTGGTCGCGTGACACAACGTTGTCCCGACGTCCAAATGCTGCTTGGGTTACTTCTTGAACTTAGAAAAAATGATTGCGAAAAATACCTCTCGTGTGTCCCCGGCTATTCAATCAATAAATATTAAACAGAACTGTCATAATTTAATTATCACGTCATTCGCTGACTTTGTCTCGCACACAAGATTTGAGACCATGCGTAGGACTAAGGTTATGCACTGACAAGCAATTTTTAGTCGGCCGATTATTGCAAATTTGTAACCAATATATTCTTATGGAGCCGTTTATACATGCACCCAAATAGTCGCTCCATAAGAATCTATTGTTTTCACCTTTGCAACTAAATAGTCGATCGATTAAAAATTGCCTGTCGGCGCATAGACTAAATTGACAATTGATATTTTGCTGTGCGAACAAAGGTAATATTATGCATGGCATAACTACCATACGATCGAAAAACAATGGCGTCATAGATTGGGAAGAATGAAGATCGTTGTCATTTTGTACTTGTAAAATTGTATTGGAAATGTCTTCGATCGTCATTTCCAAGCCAACTGGACTGCGTTTTTTTTCGATATATTGTGAATCTGAGTGCATAACTATGATGTATAGATGTAAAAGTAAATTCAAATATTTTTTTTCCTTGAAACTTCTACAAATGGCTTTTAAACAAATAGGGAGATTTCCTAAAATATTTAAATTGTTAGAGAGGTGTTTATTTAATATGAATTTTAGCTCTTATACCGATTTGGTCATCGAAACTGTGCGGTCTGAATTTTAACGTGTAAGACAGTGATGTGAACAGCTTAATGGAAAATCAAATATATTAAAAAGAGATAAAAAGTGGGTCGATACATTTCTTCTATGCTGTATTGCCGGATTTTGGAACTATAGTTGGTACTTTATTTTTCACTATTAGTTACTCATATTACTACAGCTGTAATAGATTATATTTAGCTTAGATATATTATCTTCGTTTCAGTAGTATACATAAAGTTTTTAAAATAGCTTATATTTTTCTACACACATTTTCCTATAAACGTAAAAAACCGGCAACACTGTAGCCGCTTTTGATTTTGTCTCTCTGCTTGTCAACTGGTCATTTATATTATTCTCTGTCACATGCATTAAATGCCACATAGTTTGAATGACCAGCAGGATATATAGCACAAAATATATGTTGCCTAAATTTGACAATAACATAAAATAAAAAGAGGAAATAAGTAGATTATTATTAGGCTACATTATAATAACTTTATTTATTATTTAGATGAAACATTTAGTGTCAGATATCCAAAGAGCTAGTTTTTGGGAAAAGTAAAACATTGCTATACTATCTGCTATTTTTTTTCCATAGATTCAATATATGTATATATAATTTTCATCCATACTTAGTAAATTTACAATGGAATGGGTGAGTTTAAGGAGTATATTGTTTCAGTTGTAACTATTAACAAACTAATAGCATGTGCTAATTTTTTAACAAATATTTTTGTCCCCTTTGTTATTATATCAGTAACAATTTTAAGTTATTGCTTTGTACAACGAGGCTTGCATTGCTAAAAAATATATTTCAAAAGCCATCATTTGTGGACAATTTTTTTTTTAATTTAAATATAGATAAATAAAAATAAGTTATATAAAACTAGTTGAAATTTTACATTTTACTGAGGTGTTCCAGGCCTATTGAATTCGAATAACTTATTTTTATTTTCAATGAACGTTAGCCACGAATATGCTAAATTGTTCTTGTAATCTATAAAGCAAAACATTTGTTATTATTTAAAAATATAAAGTCTAATTCGAAATCTTTCTTTTTACTATCCCACCGTACGTACGACAGATGAATACAACTTAAACCCAGGTTTAGAGTGGGAAGATGAGTTCACAGGTAGGTGGCTATGCATACCTTTACAATTCTTGGAAGTATTTGGTGTTCGTTCTCTAACATGATCCCTATCCTTTGGGCTGATCATATTGCTCGCTTGCATAGTTTTTACGTGCCTAATATTACTAGCTATTTTTCTTTGTAAGGGGACACGGTTAACAGTTTTTTTATCACCTGTACATAATGCACTACAAAATTCAGTTGCCTTTAGAGAGTACATTTTTTTCAAGATAAACATTGTTCTTTCGCTGTATAGGTTTTTTCTATGTTCATTAATAATTTTTAAACACCCTCTAATATGTATTTGATATTAAAAAATATAATTTTAATGTAATGGTGCGTTTAGACATGAGCACGCACGAGCTGAGCGTGCGCGCACGGCATTCGTTCGCGCTCTCGGCTCCGTTCAAATTAAAAACTTATTTTTCGACGAATGAAGTGTTCCATTTGTGCGCGCACAGCAGTGTTGTGTTGGCGAAAATAATGGACGACCAAGAAATAGTCGAGGCTGAAGCCATTGTTATGCACAGCTTAATTATTAAAAAGAAGAAAAATCGAAAACATCGTGGCTGGTGGCAAACCCAAATTTTTAGAAATCGATATAATTTACTGCAACAACTTAGTGTCTGAGGAGGGCTATGATCAGTTCAAAAATTTTACAAGAATGACCAGGCCCGACTTTAAATATTTACAAAATTTAATAACACCAAAAATTACGAACAAAAGATACAAATTTTAGAATAGCAATTTCATTAATATCGACATATTAAATATTAATTTTATTTACAAGGTTTTGCCATGCGTTATATTTTTTTTGATTTTTTAATAATACAAAGAATGTTTAACATCCCATAATATAGGCAACTTTTCATATTTTTCAATTAATAATAACGAAGATTCATTGATCCGCTCCATAATTTTAATAAAGAAAACAAAAAAAAAATCACACAGGCACGCACGAACGCAGACAAAACAAATTGCCGATTCAAATTGAGCGTTCGCGCACACATAAAATCCCTTTGAGCACGGACCAAAAACCGACACCAGACGGCTCACGTTCGCGGCAGCTCGCGCACAGACAGATTCAGAGTGAGCGTGCGCGCACAGCCGTTTACACTTGAGCATTCGCGGAGGATCAGTGCGTGCGTGCTCAAGTCTAAACGCACCATAACGTTATCGAATGTTGATATAAAAAAAGGTATATTATGATATTTTCCTGTATACCAAGTGCGTCTCAAAAGTGGCTCACCCGTATAAATTTTTTATTTTTTAAGATAAAAAATCGAGATTTGGTATGTTAGTATATGACATAAATTAGAATTGATTGACGTATTCAATTCGGTCACTTCCTGTTTCACCGGTAATGACTACAGCTTTTCATTTTTAAATGGCACCCATCGGTATTTTTTTTAGTTTATTTGATGACATAGAAAATGACACTCTGAATAGATTGACATGTCATATGTATGTATATTTTGACATTTTCGCCTAAAACAAAATTGTATTTAAATTTTAATCTAGAGTGCCATGGCTGTGTTAAAAACACTAATTTTTAATCAAGTAGCCTTGGAAAAATAGATTTGATGGTGTAATGCTTTTAGTGTCTTATCCTGGCCGGTTAAAAGATGCCCAAATCGTATTTTTAATCATATCTCAATTTTTTCAAATGGAACGAAAGTGGCTTATTAGCATATTTGGAAAATGCATTTTTTTAGGAATAATTTGGTACCGCACGCTTGGTATTTCGAGTCAAATTGTCGCTATGAATCGCATGTTGTAATTTCAAAGAAACCGTAATCGAAAATGTCAAAAGTTGACATATTATATGTAATTCTGTTCAGAGTGTCATTTTCTATCGAATATAGTAACAAAATACCGAGGGTGCCATTTAAAAATCAAAAGTTGTAGGCATTTCCGGTGAAACAGGAAGTGACCGAATTGAATACGTCAGTCAATTCTAATTTATGTCATATACTAGCATACCAAATCTCGTTTTTTTTATCTGAACAAATAAAAAAGTTAGAGAGGTGAACCACTTTTGAACCTCAGAGTACTTCTATTATTTTCAAATATAACATGTCCATTACATACGAAGTTATGCAATGATTATTTTCAGTTTAGCACACATATTATAGATCTCTTACAATATCGTATTCTGTAGAGAGTATAGGCGACCTCTACTTTCGTATGTACTAGAGAATATGAGAGGGCATGTAGGCTATAACTTTTTTTTGTTTATGGAAGTAGAATATTCATTAAAACATAAATTGTAAGGTTTTTGGTCCAGTTTTAATGCGTATCTATTACCAAAAATAGCATAAGCTGTTGTCACTGATATTGGATACCTAGCACATTTTTTCTGAACTCAAAAATATATAAATATATAATTATATTTATTCTAGATATAAAAAAATATACAGGGTGTCCCAGAAATAAGTGCAAATATTGGTAGTATACAGGGTGTCCCAGGCTGAGCATGCATTAGAAATTTCTAGAGAACCACAATATCTAGATCGGAGATTTTTTGCACATCATTGTTTTACAACAAGATCTATCGATTAAAAATATTTTCAATGTGGCAGCACTTCCGAAAATACCGGAAGTTGACAGCCAAACCAAACCAAACTTTCTTATTTTAAATGGGTGCCCCCATTTTTTATTACATACTTAAATTCTCTGTAAAATTTAATGAATTTTGATATTAAACACTCTATATCTAACATTAACCGTTTTTGACAAAAAAATATTTAAAATTTTAGGAAGAAAAAAACCGCCTGTCAAAATATGTGTATAGCCTAAACGTCAAATTTAGTGATTACCACAGCCACTGTGACATAAAGAGAAGACATTTGGCTATCTATTTCAAAAATTAAATTGTTCAAATGTCATATAATAATGGCGGTAACTTTCATGGAATTGAGCTATTAAAAAATGATGATAAATCATTTTTTTCAAATGGAAACCCACTTTTTTTTATTTCACTAGTAAAAAGGCTTTTCGATTCGTTACTTTTTGACTATACATGTTCCTATACCTAAAATAAATCGTTTTTAAGTTATTTAAGATTTAGTTTGAAAAGATATATTTTCCTTGATTTTATTTAGCTTCCTTTGATATTAAGTGTCAAACAGTCAGACAATTTATTTCCATCTGTCAGAAAACGAATTATTTGAATTTTTTATTTATTATAAATACTGCCCGCCCTTAAGAGTTTAAAAAGTGTATTTATTTTATAAAAATATATCTCGCATTTTTGCTCTTTAGTGATATCGTGGTATCTAATAATTGATATTACTCATATCATATACCATATGATAAAAAAAAAGCGCTAAATTGGCTTGGAAATTATGATCGAAAACATACTGCTTTTTGAACAAAGTGTCACAATATGACATGGCCAGATTTATTGTTTTACATCACTTGACATTTAAAGTCATAGGCTACTGGTTAAAATCAAGAAAAATATACGCTTTAAAACTAAATTTTCAATAACTTAATAAACGATTCATTTTAGGTATAGGAACATGTATAGTCAAAAAGTAACTAATTGAAAAGCCTTTTCACTAGTGAAATAAAAAAAGTGGGTTTCCATTTGAAAAAAATGATTTATGATAATTTTTTAATCACTCAATTCCATGACAGCTACCGCTATTATTATATGACATTTGAACAATTTAATTTTTGAAATAGATATCCAAATGTCTTCTCTTTATCTCACAGTGGCTGTAGTAATCACTAAATTTGACGTTTAGGCTATACATATATTTTTGACAGGAGTTTTTTTTGTCTAAAAATTTTAAATATTTTTTTTTCTCAAAAACGGTTAATGTTAGGTATAGAGTGTTTAATATCAAAATTCATAAAATTTTACAGAGAATTTAAGTATGTAATAAAAAATGGGGGTACCCATTTAAAGTAGGAAAGTTGCTGTCAACTTCCGGTATTTCCGGAAGTGCCACCATATTGAAAATATTTTTAATCGATAGATCTCGTTGTGAAACAATGATGTGCAAAAAATCTCCGATCTAGATATTGTGGTTCTCTAGAAACTTCTAATGCACGCTCAGCCTGGGACACCCTATATATCGATATCAGAAACACGTCTATGAGGTATTTTTTGCGGAAAAAAAAATTGAAATAGAAATTTTTTTAGTTTTAAGTTAAAAAACATAATTTCTTGATAATATGGCAACACAGGTAGTAGCTTAAATTTCATGAAAGAAAATCCAGAAAAGATCCAGTGGTTCTCAAAATTTTAGCAAAAAAACAGTTTTTTTGGAAATTTTCAAAATAAAATAACTCGGTTATTTTGGACTTACTTTGAAAAACGGTAGAGAAAAAATTATTCTTTTGACCAGATCTTGACCAGGTCACTTGAGCCAGACAGACAGCCAGATATCCGATATGGATAAATAGGAGTGTGGCGTAAATCAGGTAAGAACAGTTAAAATACGCTAATGAACTAGAATAAACAGGTTTGAAGCGCTTTGAACCGCTTTAAACTGCTTTGAACCGCTTTTTAGCTTAAAACAACAGACCTGTTTTGCATTTTTTGTTCAAACCGGTTTATTTCTGTTTTGAAGCGGTTGTTTCCTGTTTAAACCTGTTTATTCTAGTTCATTAGCGTATTTTAACTATTGTTACCTGATTTACGCCACACTCCTATTTATCCATATCGGATATCTGGCTGTCTGTCTGGCTCAAGTGACCTAATACCTACTCACTATTGCCGGACCCTGTATAATTAGCGGTTTCAAGTAAAATTGTATATACCAAAAGAATAAATTGACTAAAGAATACACAGATGGTTTGTTAACTTTGAGTTAAAAACTAGAGTAAAAAAATGGATTGAATATTAATTAACAACAATTAAATAGTTAACAAATGATATAAAAAGTAATAAAATGTAATTATTATTAATTTAATTATCAATTATTATAATTAATTTAAATTTACGATGAACATGAATTTATCTTAAAATTAACTCCATAGGTATTCTTATT